GCTCACCCCGCGCTGAATAACTCTTCCACCTCTCCGTGATGGGCAATGATTATCCGGCAAGATCGTTTGTTCATTGTAAAATTGTTATATATACGTAGAAAATTCTCTCTCGGTCGGATGATTAAGTGGACACACGCAGATCCACGCGATCGCGACATGAACGGAATCGAAATACGGTGTGTGTGTTCGCGTATAATAAAAAATAAATCCCCCAAAATAAAAAAATTCCCCAAGTAGAACAGTAGCCCGGGAAAAAAGTCCTTCACATGCGTACAAATTCTATATCGAGTTACACATCCAGTTGTCTATAATTAGATATAATTGTAATTATTTAATAAAACATTCAAATTTTGAATAAATAATCGAAACACGGTTCTGATAGTTTCTCTCAAAAACAAATGATATGGTTTTTAAGAGCCGGGCGCTGTGGATGAACGTGCGAAATATTTTTTAAATATAAATTAAGATGCGAGTGTGTGTGTGCGTGTGTGTTACTTTGTTTAAAATACAAAATTTCAAATACGCATACGCGCCTTGTCTGTTATTACGAGTTCGAAACAACGCAGACGTGTATGAAAAATATTTGACAAACGAAAAGTTTAAACGCGACTGTTTGTAAAGAGAAATCTTACAAATTGTTAACACACGAGGTAACAATATTTTATTTGCGCGTCACGTTGTTGCATAATTTCACAACTGCACGGTTCACCTGTATATCGTAAAAGACATATTACAATAGCTATCTCTATTCCTCAAGGAAAACCAGCTTGAATATTAATATATAGTTTTCCTATTCCAGTCTACTTGAGAAAATTGCGCGCGGAAACGGAAAAGTGCGAGTACGCGAAGATATCACGCAAGCGTACATTTCTTCTGCGTTCGGATATAAAGCTAAAAAAGCTTTATTGCTTATTAAATGTAGAAGACAAAGCAGCACTTTCAGCACGAGAGAGGACTATTCGAGTTATCATCGTTTTGCGAAAAATTATTTAATATTTATAAGTGCACACACACATACACACACACACACACAAAAGCAATAATAAGAAATGAGCCCGATTCTTCGTAAGTGACGAGTTCATTAAATTTACATTAGAGAATAAAGCACTTTTGCTTGTATCAAAAAAAAAAAAAAAACAATTTGGAGGCGCAAAACAACTCAACTTATGAAACACAAGGAAAACAAAAAAGAAAGAAAGAGAGAGAAGATAATAAAAATAAATGATTAATTTTATTCTAATCTTACACGGAGATAAAATTTATTTTTTTTTATTTTTTTTTTTTTTTTATTATTGCGTGTGCTATATGATATTCCACAGATTAGTATAGCGTGACCAATTTATATGGTAGCATGTTCGTTGCGGGGTCGAAAAATTGAAGTTTGCGCAACTGCTGCTGCCGATCGCTTTAATGAACTCGCCAGGGTCACGCGGAAACGCTTCATTCTAATATGCACGCAGTTCCGCTGCTCTTCGCGTGCATATATGATGCTATTTTGAAAAGAAATATACACAAAAGCGCTTTAGCGTCGGTCTCGTCACGATCGTGTGTTCAATTTCTAAAATTAACCATTTTTCCGTACAAATGCATCTCTCGCGAATCTATAATTTGTTGTACGTCCTGTGTTTCCGCACATATTTTTGCGCATTTATCCTTTGTTTGTAACGCGAATCGCGTTAGTTAAAACTAGCAGAACTCTGTGGAACTCTGTGTTCTCTTATTCATCTCGGTAATCCAATCTGTCTCTTTATTCTGACAAATTGACTTCTTTGAGGTCACACGTATATTGAATTATTTATTAATTTTGTGTTTTACGTCGCGCACGCATTAAACGCGTATATATCGCCCCATGCACACGGAGGAAATTCGTCATTTAGAGGCCCCCTCGGCTGATGGGAACACCGCCGAGCGAAACCTGTCCTAAATTATTATGTAATCGCGCGGAGCACATCTCAACACACATGCAAGAGCAAACCTGGGGAACGTGATTGGTGCAATACGTGTGGCGCGATATGCGTTCACACACACACACACACACACACACACATACAATTTCAGGTAATAATATAGATACCTATATAAAATATCAATCCGGTGTTCAACTGTTTCAAAACATACGAAGATATAACAAAAAATCTGATCGTAGTTGCATAGTGCGTACATTGAAAAACAACTCTACGCACAAAAGAAAATTTTTTAAACGTGTTTTATAAACGTCAACAAATAAATATATATATATATATATATATGTATGTATACATAATTCACAATGGTATAAATTTACATTTCTTCGACAGACTTCGTTAATTATATGCTTTCGAAATGATGCCGGTGGCGATGTGTGAGAAACAACATCGTATACGCGGCTGTCTTAGTATTCAACTCTGTGTGTGTATAAGAAAATTAAATAAAATAAAGAACAGCAAGAACCAAACGCTGAGGGTGTGTACGTGCAAAATATTTTTAAAGGGTGAATTAACATACAATTATAATTCGAGGTAAAATATAATGAAAATTTAATTGAGATGATTCAAGTCAATGCGCACACAGCCACGGACTCGGGAATAACTGCATGATGCACGTTATACAGGGTGTCTGAAATTGTTTTAACACAGTAGGTGTGTACAAAAAAATCATGTGATTTAAAAAAAATAAATATTATCTGATAGAGCGAGAAGCCGCACGCTGCGTTCACTCCGTCTCTCTCGTCGCTTGGAACATTTTTCAGAAGTAAACAATTTTTCTTTGCAACTAAAAATCACACAATTTTGTACACAGAGCCAATCGCTCTCTTTCCACTCAATTAATTAATAACTATTGCAAAGTTTGCAAAATGCTACACGACTCTTGAAAAAGAACGTTCTGTACACGCTCATTAGCGCGTTTCAAGAAGTATATTAACGAAATTCCACCGATACGACAATGTGTTATCGCGCGCGTGAGTGCATACACTAGATAAGTTCAATTATAATCATTTGAGCCATCAACGTTGTCCATTATTCTTTCGAGATATAATCCTCGGGCTATCTAGTCCTCTCACGCATAATGACACTCATTGTCAGTAATTTTATGGAACGTGATTACAACTACAAAAGATAGACCCAAAAATTCGATGAGAAATGTTAAAAAAAAAAAAAAAAAAAACCTGAATAAATATTTGATCTATAGATGTGGAGAAAAAGTTCATCGCTCTCGTTTTTCGCGTTCTCTTTCGAGTTTTTATTTTTCTCACCGAAGAACTTCGTTACGTTTTCGAAATGATGCCGATGGCAATGTGTGAAAAAAAAAGAAACAACAGTTCGTTTCAATGTAAATAAAATGACGAAACTTCATAATTTCTCGCTTCTGACGTCACAATTCAAGAGAACGAGCACAACAATTTTCATTTTTGAGAAAGAAAAATCGAAGGCATCAAAATATACACATTATGTATGTACACAAATGTTTGCGCGATATTATATTTAATAATATGTATATTTCGTTTATTGGTAGAAATCAATGCAAACTGACAAATACATGGTAAAATGCGATAAAACGTTGCATTTTTTTCTTTTTTATAAATAGCATTATCTCTCTTCAGACACTACTTCCTTCATCGTTATTGGATTATACAATCATTCATTTACACGTGTAGTAAAATTAGAAAATGAACAATACCATTAATGGCAATCAATACAGTAGCAATTAATAGATTTATATAAATTATTCATAACGCACATTCGGTGGATTACGAGAAATCTTTTTGAAATTTCTTTAACATTCTCTCGTGCACGCACTTCGACATCGTTCGACATAATGACTGAAAATTTTTACTTAATATCAACGGTAACACTTTTTTTTTTCCTACAAGTAAAAGCGAACGATTCGAGTGAACATTACGCAACTGACTTGTTTGTATCTTTCTATAATAGCTGTATAAATGTTTTTGTTGCTTCGCGATAAACATGTGCGCATGTGTAGAGATCTCTCCTCGAAACGCATACAATTTTCTTAAACATGAGAAGCAAATATTTTCTTGCACTTTTTTTATTTTATTTATATAAATTAGCTAAACAAAGTACATCATCTTTTTTGTTTTCAATATTGCTATATAAAAGATCAAATGTGTGTGAAAAGTGAGACAGAATATAAATTTTCGTTTACATATATATATATATATATACATATATATATAAGTCTAGAGCTAAACCAAAGTGCATGTTGCAGAACAAAAGTCTCTCGGGACCGTATAATAATTACGAATACAAATTCACACACACATAATATATTAAGTTTTACAATATTTTTATGTAGTTTGTTTTTGTTCTCATATATATACTTTATATAGCTAAAAATAATTTACTAGAATTACCCCGATTTTATACTTTTGATAGTAGACTCGCATATTGTTAAGCAATTTCCTCTCCCTTTTTTCCCCCCCGATTACTAAATATTTAAAAAATATTGTACACACGTGTGTATGGAGCTACAGTGAATTATCTAACCGTGAGAACAAATATTTGTTGATTTGTATCACATTACTACGCAAATGTACGAGGAATTATACAGTGTTTCTCGAGCATTGTGTTCGCGAGCCGCTTATAGTTCAATAAGTTTATTCCCCCACCACATCCCGACTTCGGACTTGAGCGTTGTTTACGTCCAACGAGACTTGGCGGCCCTCTTATCTGATGCTACCCACTTTGTCTTGTTTCACTCTTAAGTGTGCTCATTTTTTTTTCGCTTTGTTTTCCTCGCGCTTAAAAATAAAGCAAGCCCTCCGTGTTCTCTTTATTACTGGCGCGCATTGGCCGCTGTTTGGTAAGTTCTTTTTCCGAGAATCACCGAACTGTAAGCGATCGTCAGTGTACCATATATCATTTTTCACATTTCTGCGCGTTCAGCAAAACACACTCTTCACTGATTGTGAATTGTATTTTTCTCAAAAAAAAAACAAAATAAATAAATACGCACACATATATATTATAGAATACAATAATTCTTCAATATAATGAATTAAATAATGAAAACTCAATTTTTATTTCATGCTTGTAGACGCGGATAAATTATTTAAAAGATACACGTAAGATCACATTTCACATAAATGCAATTAACAAGAGTAGCGGGAGGTAAAAACTATTATGCCAATATATTAATATTACTATTATGCTGCAAACTTTTGTCGCTAAAACATGTGTTTTGTGCCATGTTTTTCCGCTATTTGTATTTGGAGAGATTTTGTTTTTCTTTCTTTTGCCTCAAAGCAAAATACATGATTATTGATCATCAATAGTGATATTGAATAGATAGTCCATCCAGCAGGAAGACACATTTAGCGCATTATACACTGACTGATTTATAACTGCGTTATGTATCTTGCGATATAAGAATATATAATGGCAAATGTAAATCTACCGCGAAATTATACACAAATTGTATTGACTAATTGTAAGTATTCACGTTAATCAGTTTATTTCTCCTAGTGTATGTGTCGTGTTGTGTCGCGTGTTTGTGTGTGTGATGTATGCCGAGAATACATCATACCCTTACCTTAATGCTTTTGTCGCTATTTAAAAAATAGAGTACAAATACAATAAAACGGAATCGCTCGAAACAAACGTCAAATTCAAATTCTGACTTAAACAAGTACGTCGCAACAAATTATAAAATAATAATGTTGTGGGAAGAACGATGTGAATTTACAATAAGATAAGATTAAGTCAGAAATAGTTGAAAAGACGAAGAGAGAAGAGACTTCCTCATTGACACACTTTCAGTAAAACATTTCAGCCGGTTTATGCGGTCCGTTGAATGATGTGAATTCCGCTATCTGTGTGTACGGGCGAGGATAGCTCGCCGATTTTGAGAGCGAAAGCAGCTTGTTCAAATGGTTTTTGCATCGCGCCCCGACCAAAGGGTCCGAGGTCACCGCCGCGTTTCGCTGAACTGCAGTCGCTATATTTCGAGGCAAGCTCGGCAAATGTCGCTTTGCCAGATGCAATTTGTTCTCTATATGCTGTTAAGTAAAAAAAAAAAGAGACATTTTTTTGCTTATTGCGCAACACAAGCAAAATAATATTCTGCACAAATAATGTAAGTTGAAAAATATCAATGTATATTTAATATAGTGATATGAGAGATAATATTTACATTTAATCATCTCAAGAGCTTCATCCTTTGACCTAGTAATATTCTCTTCCCGCCAAGATGAAGGTCGTCGAGATCCTGAATGTTTCACAAGTAGATGTGAACATTGCACTTCTTCTGGGCCATCTACCTTGCCATTGCTCGAACGATCTGCGGGCTTGTCCGGTTTATCCCATTGACTTTCTTTAGTATAAATATTTAAATAATAATGTTGACCTGCAACAATTTCATCTATTCAAGTTGGAAATACAAACACAAAGTTTTTTTTTTTTATTACGATTTACGTGGGATTCGAAAAGAAAATGTTTTAAATTTCTTTGAAAACACTTTTATAGAAATCAAACACAATTAACGTATTAAACAAATAATATATTTAACAAATTTATTATACACGTGTTTATAAAATATTTATGTATATAACAACTTAAGAAGTTTTTGTAAAATAGTAAAAGTAACAACGCACCATTTTTTTTTTTTTTTTATTAAAAAACAAACTTTTTAAGACTGAAACAATGTAAAAGAAATGTAAAAACGCTTCGAAAGATCTTGCTCGCGTAAGAATCAACAACAATGAACAGACAAAACAACAACAATGTTTGAAAAAACGTGTGCGATCTGTATTATTTTTCAACAAAACTTTGACACAATGCCACCAATAAAAACGCGATTGCAGTAGCCGCATCTTAGCGCGCATCACTTTTTTTTTGGGGGTTTTTTTTTTAATCAAATAATTCGACGAAGAGGAAGCAAAAAAGTCTAGCGTCGAAATAACGCGCGACGAGGAAATTCGGCGCACAAATCATCTCGATCAAACGAACTTTTCAGCTGTACAATTGATCGTCGTTGTGACGAAAAGTTGAAGTGTCGGAAAAATGCCGGGTCATACGGTGTGATCTCGCCGGCTTTAATAATTTTGCCGGCGATAAACGCGACAGCGAGCTCGCGAAAAACAGATGTTTTTTGACATACCGGTCGATCTGCTGAGCCGTTTTTCCCAACCTGCTGGTAGTTCTTCGTCCGCCATTGCCGTTGAGAGTATTTTCGGAGTATTTTGCTGCCCCTTGTGCGGCGACTCTCACGTCAAACGCTGGCTGCCTCCCGTCTCTCCCACTCGTCTCCATCGCTGGATGAACATTGTGCCGCTTGCCGCGCCCTCGGCACCATACACCTTTCGTAGTTACATTCCGCGATATATACGGATTTCGGAACCATAACCCCACATTCTGGCTGGGCCGTGTGTGTTCCGTTATTTGTCGCTGACAAATGTGACAATAAAGCGACATTGTACGAATAATACCGAAGCGTATTGAAAATCTATAGTATATGTTACGTGAACGCGTCGTGAAGACTGCTGCGCGTCTTCGGTACTTGCCAGGAAACGAGAGTTTTGTCGGACGTCAAATATCTGAGAGGTTATCAAGTTGATCCTGTACACAAAATTTCCTTCGCGTGCATACACAAGTGCTCTGTACATGAAATCTCAGTGCACATTCCGCGATAAATAAACTAACAACATGTCATCTAGGACGCTCTTTTACTTGGGTGACACAGCACATAAATGGTGCGAAGGTTTTTTCACAAAGTTTATATTGTTTTTTAAATAAAAATTTATACGTGTTAACTTAATCTATTTCTGTAAGTTCTTTGATTTATAAATATCATTTTACATAAATTTTCTTATCACCGTGCGTCTTCTTATCACCTTTTTATTTCTTATCGTAAGAGTGTCTTTTTTTAGATTTTTTTTCTATCCATTTGCTATAACATATCGAAGGTAAAATTATTTTATATTTTTATCCTATTAGTTATATATAGTTGTAACTCCATGTTACGGGAAGATAAAATTAGTACTGAGAGAATGTTTTGTTAAAAATTTCAGCGTCTTTGGGACCGCGCAGCTATGCAGGCCGAAATTGCAAACGTTACAGTACAGACAGATAAGAAGTCTGAGAAAATTGTCATTTTCTCCTAAAGCACAGACACAGACTCCTTTTCCTAATGGTATTTGTGTCGAAACTGGAACCGTACAGCCTGCAAGACTGCTTAAACATCTTGGTTTTACAATTATGGTAAATAAATAACACGGTGTCAAAGTTCTTTATAATCTTCTCTTGTATAGGTAAATATAATTTTACAAATAGCTTTAAAATGTAACAGGTTTGTTTTTTTACATATGTATAAACACACATATAAGTAAAAATATCCAAAAAAAACATACAAAAATTAAAACAAGAAAAGATATTACACTCAAGAAATATACAAAATTTTTTCTATTTTTTATCTTTTATTACATTTAAAAACTTTGTCTATAGTATTATAATTTAAAGGTAGAATCCATATGTAATGTGATATTTCTGAATTCACAATACGAAATTGTTTCTAAATTTTTTCTTATATATACATGTTATTATTTACAATTTTTGAATGATTGCAAATAACTCTTTAATTATCTTTGCTTTTGTTTAGTTTAGCGGAGCCTCCATAGCAGGTGCTGCAATTTGGGAGTATGAACGTATCAGAAGCCAAACATATAAAATGATACATCGGTTCAGACAATTTCATAACAGTAATGTATGTAAGGTAGTGTTGAAACAAAAAAGAACATGTTAAGAGATAATTTTCTGTACTTTAATGTATACAATAATGCGTTGGTTAGCGAACAGGATGGAGAGGCCAAATGGAGACATGGTGGAGAAACTTGACGGAAGGACAAAAAGTTTTTGCGCCTATATGTTTTATAAACGTAGTCGTATTCTTAGCCTGGCGAGTGCCGGTGTTACAAAAATCGATGATGCGCTATTTTTGCGCCAATCCCGCTTCTAGTAAGTGATATTATCGTCCCGAGCGACCGTTGAAGAGATTTTTTGTTACTTCGAGCGTTAATTGAAAGTGATTCTGATGTAAGGTGTGTCATGCTGGCCTATGGTACTTTCCACCTTTTCGCATTACACTATTTTCCATCTGGCTGCGAATATGTACGTGTTACATAGCTTTAGCACACTGGCTGTGTCGACACTGGGAAAAGAACAATTCTTGGCGCTTTATTTATCAAGCGGGGTGGTGTCGAGCTTTGCTAGTCACGTTTACAAAACCATGATCGGTACGCCAGGTCTCTCCCTAGGAGCGGTAAGCAATAGTTACATGTGTGAAATAAGTTGCGAAGAGAACCATTACTAGAGAATCACATTTTTTTTTTTATCTTTTAACAAATTTTTTCTATTTCAGTCAGGAGCGATTCTAGGCGTTCTTGGATTTATCTGTGCCCAATATCCTGACATACAACTCAATATTATTTTTCTTCCTATGTTGCCGTTTACAGGAGATATGGTACGCATACTTAGCTTAAATTTTTTTATATTTCGATATTTTACTACATATAAGTGTATAAAAGTAAATAGTAAAACGGTGCGATTTATATAAATAAATAAATTGTATACATATTGTCCACTAGGCAATCAAAGGAATAATGATATTGGATTGTCTTGGTTGTATCTTGGGATGGAAATATTTTGATCATGCCGCACATTTAGGTGGCGTATTATTCGGAATGTAAGTTGTGCGTTACACAATAAATTATTAAAAAATAGCTCGAGTTGCTTTTCGTAATAAATAAAAAAAATCTTTTGTTCTGTGAAAATTGCAGGTTTTGGCAAGCTTGGGGTAACGCTTATATTTGGCAAAAGCGGGAACCGCTTCTGACCTTGTGGCACAGCATTCGAGAACCTCGAAAATCGCAATGATATTTTTCAATTCTAGATTCTTGTTATACTATTCACAGTGTGTATAAAATATTTTATGCATAAATTTTGTAAAACTTCTATTATTACGCGCGCAAATACGTGTTTGCAAAAAAAAAAAAAAAACAGATTTGTCTAAGAAATTAAACTATTATATACGAACACTCTACACAGATATGTTATATATATATATATATATATTTTATTAGTTATATTTTTCATTTTTACATGCTGAAGTATTTCTTCATCAATTCTTGTGAAAAAACAATAACAAAAAAAAAACAATGTATATATAAAAGATATATTAAACATCATCTTTTATATAAAAGAATACAACTTTTATTGTTCTCGTTGAAAAATGCGAGTTTTTCTCTTTCGTTTTTTTTCTTTTTTTTTTCCATCACTATTTGGTTACACAAGAGCATAAAAATCTTCTAAAATAAAGATTTCAATGTTCACCTCAGTAATGTTTTTAACGGTAATAGCGATCTCAGATTTAATTTTTCAGATATTTTATGTGATGTTTGAAATGATCTTCAATAAATGTAGCTATGAAATAGTAGCTGTGATCATAATCGTCTTGAAATCTGAGAGTGAGCGCTATGCCATTGTCTTTCGCAGCATTTAATAGATTCTCTGGTAATAACTGACCTTGCTTCAAAAACTGATCTTCTTTACCCTGAAATATACGAATCTTTGTTTTTCTTTTGTTTTAGCATTGTAACGTGTTAAAAGTAAACAAATGGAAAAATCAGTTCTTATCAGTTATTAATAAAAAAAAAATAAAAATAGAATAACGTAGAAAATTAAAAAAAAAAACGAACCTGATCGATTAAAATGTCCAAGGGCGGGCCGTTGTATTTTTTTGCCAGTTCTGTAGCGTCCCATTCTTTCCACGCGTCGTCGTCTTTTGATCCTCCCAAATATCCTGAAAAGGCTTTCTTTCCCCACGGACATAAAATTGGATTACTTATGGGCGCGAAGGCCGATACTGTTCTGAATTGTCCAGGATTTTTCAAAGCGCAGATTAGAGCACCGTGTCCTCCCATGCTAAATAAACAAAAAAAAAACAAGAAACACTTTTTGGAAACTATTATCTCAAATATTTTTACAACGAATTATTTTTGTCGCACCTATGACCCATTATAGATTGTCTATCCGGTAAAATTGGAAACTCTTTACTGATCAATGCCGGCAGTTCTTTGGTAACATAGCTGTACATCCTGTAATTTTTCTTCCATGGTTCGCGAGTAGCATCCAGATAGAATCCCGCACCAGTACCGAAGTCGTAACTGTCATCTTCGCCAGGAATATTCAATCCTCTTGGACTGGTATCAGGTATGACAAGAAGCACGCCGTGTTCCGCAGCGTATTTCTGAGCTCCGGCCTTCTCACTGAAATTTGCTTCGGTACAAGTTAGACCAGATAACCAGTAGATCACTGGTACAGAATCTTCTTCAGCTTGAGGTGGTAGGTATGTAGCAAATTTCATCTTGCATCCTAATTCTGTACTGTTGAACAACACGTATTGTTTAGTCGTATGTAAAAACAATTTTTACAGGAAAATACAAAGTTAAAAAGAGAGTTGTGTAAAAAAAGCATTATCACACATTGCGCACAATAGTTAGCATGTAAGAATATTTTGGAGTTTAATTGTATCTTATTTACCTGTTGTGCGAATACACTGTCTGCCATCCTCCAAAAATTTTATTACTCTGAACGTGTGTTAATTCAGACATCTGAAAATTATCGTTTAATTTTCAATGTGGAATATCCGGGTGGCATATATTATTTTATCAGAATATGCGACATTAAGGTTAGAAAGCAAAAGATTGTAAACTTGTGGATTAGAAAAATATCGTTAAAAAGAAAAAACATGTCAAGAGAAAAGTTTAATAACAGTTTGATATTTCTTCAGTGCAAAAATTTCTCGAAATTACTTACTTTGTGTCCAAACTACGTAATATCTAAACACACGTACGTAGATGCCAGTAACCATGAGATGCCTGTAACCTTGCTTGTGACCTCGATGTGCGTACTTTTTGCTCTGGACGTTGTATTTCACAGATATTAGTGTGCATGTGTTCTCATATGCGTGTGCTTGTCGCGTAAACACGTACTGAAGACTATTTGATAATCATTTATATATGTGCATTATCATGTTTATTACAGAAAGATAGAGAGCGCAGATTACAGAGGAAGAGTTTTACACATGTCTTGGATTACAGAGTAATTTTCTTCGCGCCGCTATAATCTTATTGATCTTGTATTATAATCGAATTTTGTTTATTTCTTCTGCAATTGTTGCTTCTTGTGCGTGACAGATCGCTTTGATAAAATTACTCTTGTGGAATACGGATCGGACTTCGTCGTATGTTTTGGTACGTTACTTGCTGCTGAAATAAACAAAATATCAAAAATTAAAATTTTTTTTTAAATTGAAAAACTTTTAACTGAAAATTTAATTTTGTTCAAAATTTTAGAAAACAATTTTTTTATGCACGTACAATCTTCAAAGCGTGGTTCTATCTTAATCACGCTGCCAATACTCTCCCTCGACGACGCGAAACCGCTTATGCGGCTTCCGCTTTTCACAGGCTGACCTAACGAAGCCGCGGAACTCGCGCCTGGACTGGCGGACGATCTCGTTGACGGGATAAAACATGGTAATTCGATATTCTTGGCGAGCAATAATTTCTTAACATACGCCTCAGCCTCCACGTGACGAATCGTAAACTCCGCGATATCTTGAAGAACTAACGCGTTCTTCTGCTGAAGTTCTCGCAATTCCACCTCTCTCTGAGAAGCATTTCGTGATGAAAAAATCACAAGAGAATGTGGGATCTAATCGCGGAGGATTATCATCTGTACCTGTTGTAAGAGAATGATATCGTCCGTATTAGAGATATACAAATTTTGTATATCCTTTTGCGCCTTGTGAAGACTCTTGTCGGCTCTGGTTATCTTCTCCCTTTGCTCCACAGTCTGTTTCTCGACACCCGACAAGTAACGTTGCTTGTTTTCCTTCTCTTCCTTCGCTTTCTCAATGTCATCAAGCAGCTGAGTATAATCATTCTGCGCTTTCTGTTCAATAAAAAAAAATTGAACATATTAGATTTGTATTTTTTCTAACTTTTTATTGTTTTTAATGACTAATCGAAAACTGCCACGTTAAAAACACCTGCAATTCGTCGAACAATTCTTGCAGCTGTTTTTGCTTTCGCTGCAGGTCTTGTCGCGCGTTGCGCATCTGCTCGTCGAGTCTTTTCTGCGTTGTGTGCTCCGGTCCGTCCTGATCCACCATACTCAGACTGTCTCTGTACTTGTCGTTGCACACGTTCACCACGCGCAACGTGTTCTCCATGCTGAGTATTTCTTGTTCGGTGCGACCGATAGTTTCGTCCAATTTATCACCTCGTTCCCGCAACATATATCGTTCCTGAGCGTTCTGTATCTTCAGATACGCGGTGCTCATCGGCGCTCCGTCAGAAGTAACGCTTAACATAGCGACGACGTTGTCGTATCGCGCCTGCAACTGCCGTATCCGAGCTTTTCTCTCGGAAATGGCAACGCTCAACTCCGAGCACTCGTTACCGACTATTCTCTTCTGCACGGCGAGCGCTTCCTTCTGCGCTGCGATCTCGGTTGTGCGTTCCTTGAGCGCCTGCGAAAAAAGTAAAAGTAATCGAATGAAGACGCGCGATGAAAAGTGCGAAAAAATACTCTCGGAAAGAGTGGCTTACCGCTTCGAGACGAAGACGATACTTCTCCAGACCGTACACCTTGTCGCTCACGTTCGAGGTCGTTTGCTGAAGTTGCGACACCCGAAGACGCATTATATTCTCCTCCACTTGTCTGTCTTCGTTTTGGGACCGCGCAGCTTTCAATCGCTTCTCCCCTCCGTCCAACAATAACAATAAGTCCTGCTTCTTATTTCGCAGCCGTTCGAGTTCGACGTTCTCGCTCGACAAGCAAATAGACATCCTTCTTATGTCATGCTGAAAAGATAAAAATTGAGAAAGACATTTTCCTTAATTAATTAATCATAAATTAATCGTGAAAAAAATATATAAAGTGAAAAAAAAATATAAACAATAAAGTAATAGATTTTTTTTACTTCCAAATCGGCAATCTGATGCTGTAGCAGCTTGGATGTGGCTAGTTTGTCGCTTAACGAAGCTTGCAACTCCTCAACTTTCTTCTGCTTCTTCTCAGCTTCGGTTGTGTCATGTACGATTCCTTTAATCCGCTCAAATCTCATCTCGCATTTATAAACGTTGAATTTTACTTGATAGAGACTTTCTTTCCTTTCGTTCAGAAGTTTCGTCTCTTTTATCTGCAACTTGCCGAGCAGATCCGATTTTCTCTGTTCGCTTTGCATCTGCATTTGCACGGTTTTTCTTTCGTTTTCCAATTCTAGGATTTTTGTCGAAGCGCGTAAGATCGAATTTTGCAATCGGCGTAATTCCTTGACAATCACAGACTTCTGTTTTTCATCATGCTAAAAAAAGGACAAAACGTCGTAATAAGTTATTGTTATAATACTTATTCCTGTGTTAAAACTACTTTTATCGTTTTGAAAAGCTTTCTTTTTTATTTTGTCGGTGATTTAAAATCGATTTTGCAAGTAAATGCACACGCGCGCGCGCGCGCGCGTGTGTGTGTGTGTGTGTGTGTGTGTGTGTGTGTGTGTGTGTGTGTGTGTGTGTGTGTGTGTGTGACGTAGCGGTTACATACTTCAACCATCTTTTCCAAGCGTTTCGTTCTCTCTTCGACGTTCAACTTCTGGCTCTCAATTTCTTCCAACGTCAACGTTAAATCGTCAATTCGTTTCCTGTAATTATTTATCTTGTTGTATTTATTTTCAATTTCACTCTTCTTGCCCTTCGCATTAATTCGAACTTGCTGTATGCGACGCGCCAAGTCCACTACTAATTTTTTCTGAATCTGAACCTATTCGGACGATTGTCGACAATCAAATAAATAAATAAATCATTTATAATTTGTTCGAAACTCTCTGATTTAACAAAACAAATGTGATATTTTACTAATTGTCTATATATATATACCTCAATGGTGTAACCGCCAATTGCCTCTGTGACTTTGAGTTGGTTTTCTTGCAGCAATTGAAGTTGCTTTTCCGATTGTTTTATTGACTCTTCCAGTTGTTTGTTATTCAAAACTTGATCCTGCAAAAATTTCTCCACCTCTTCCAAATTAGTTTTTTTCTCCTTGCCAATTTCCCGCAATGTTTCGATTTCCTGTGCAAGATAATAACGTGATAATTTTTATTTTAATAATCCAACAGAGAGAAAAGTAAAATAAAAAAAAAAAAAAAAAAACCGCACTTTTAAACAATTCTGTATATCACTGTCTCTCTGTTGTAGGATGGAAATACTTTGCGTCCACTGATTTATCATTTGTTTGCGCTCTTTCAACGCTTCCGTGTGAAATTTTGTAGTGCGATCCAGAACGATTTCCATCTCTTGTATCTCGTCAACGGCTTTAACGACGGTCTGACGATAAGTCTCAAGTTCTGTGGTAAACTTCTGCCGTTCGTGTTCCAATTCCTTGAACATCAAATCAACTATTGCACAAGCTGTCGCACGCAAGATATAATCGCGTGTTCGTATTTTCGCGCAACTTACTTTTCATACCTTGTACTTCTGCGTGTCCTGCCTCATGTAACTCTCTATCAGCTGATTGTCCTCATCTTTCTGCGCAATTTTCTCTTTCCATTTGCTCAAACTCTTCTCGTCAAACTTAACAGTTTGCTTCGCTTCGGCCAGCTTATTTGCCATTCTGAACAACTGTTTCTCCACATTTGACACTCTCCGATTGATATCCGTCCATTCTTTTTCAAATTCACGCGCTTCTTGCCGCAAAGACGATTCCGTGTTGTTGCTCAGCCGATAAAAATGGTCCTCCATCTCCAATTGAGCCAAATGGTCCGTGAGCAGCTTCTGATTGAAATCGTGCTGCACCGCTATGTCACCCTCGTACTTTCTGATCATTTTTAACCGTTCCTCCAAGCTCTCAAGTTGCGCGTTTAAGGAAGCTTTCTGCTTAGTCTTTTGGGCAATCTGTTCATAAAATAAAAAATAATTTGTATGACTGTCTTATTGTTTCGTGTATGTAAGTAATATATAAATTTTAAGTTAAAAAACGAATTGCACAAACAATAATAATAATTTAAAAACAACAGCGTGAGAGAGAAATAAACATTCGCAAAAAAATTAATGAGCGTCTTTACTTCTTCTTGCAGACGTTTGTTCTCCTCATTAGCTATTGGAATTCGAAAACCGTCCTGCCACTCCAGTTGGTTTAAAATCATCTCTATAGCCGTCGTCGCCATGTCGGAGAGAGAAAAAATAGTACCTGTGTATCACTCAAATCAAATTATATTTTGCGACTATTTGCGCAACTCTTTTTACGACATGCCGGCAATATCCATGATGCACGCCCGTGTAAACAAAGTTAAAATAATCAATAAAATAGCGCGTCACGTTGACCGCGGACTTGTTTGTTGTGTGAAACATATTTTATAGGCGCGTTAAGTCTGGGTTTACACGTGACCTGTACGACCGAGCGAACCGAGAACATTCAAACCGACCAATCGCGTTAGATTCGTTTCAGATCAAAACTGGTCTGTTTGCGGTTGGCAATTGGCCGATTGGCTTAAATCGAAAACGGTCTCTGAATCGTTTGTCGGATAAAGAAGAGACGCGCTTCTGGGCCAATCGCTCGGCTTGATTTTTTGTCGGAGCAAATCGCTGATTGGCCACTCCACTTGTTTCACGTGTAACGGACGGAGTGTCCTGTGTGCAAAAGCCATTAGGTGTGTGTCGGTTGTGTTATGAGGCTTACATGAGGGTTTAAAACTATTTACTCGCGCTATTGCTATGTGTAAGCCCTACTATTCCGCTGCTTGGATGAGAACGCGGAATGAGTAATGGCGGAACTCTGTGTATTGTTCTTGCGCGTAGACTAAAATAATGGATATTTGTATCTTATCACGCACGTCTTGATACGTCTGTTTCGCGTGACATTATGTCCCCCAGGTAAGATGTGTTGTTTCCGTCACGTTATCGGTGTGAGAGACAGTGTCCGAAAAGTGAAACTGATAAATCTCGAAAACAAAAGTTTTTCACGTTTATTAGCAAAAGTTGGAGAATTTAAGTAGCAAACCAAACTGCCTATCTATCGAGCATTCGTCGCGATATACCATTGCTTATCTTTCATTGCAAATGGGAAAGATAAATAGATTTAACCGTAGATTTATCCTACATTATAAAAAACAGGATAGAAGATATTTTTGATAACATTTTTTGTGCGTTCCTTCCTATTCTGTGAGTGATGTAAAAACAAAAAAAAATACAAAAAAAAACAAGTCGGATCGACGTGTGTACGTGTTACTTGTGCCTGACGAAGTAGCCGATTTTTTATTGTTCATCATGGTACACGGTATGATACCAAGTGCGTATGCATACAACTTTTGGGCCGAGAGGCCCGGGGATGAACCCACGATGGTGGAACTCACGTGCCTGATGCCAAATGGTGTTGTCATACCATTTGAGATCAATCGCAATGTTACCTTAGATCAGATCAAAGAGGTAAACATCTCATATGTCTCTAAACATTTACATATATTATTTGTATTCATATTGTTTATGTTATTGTTTATATTATTATGTATATACTGTCAATTTAACAGGATCTTTGGGAGGAGGCTACTAAATATCCTCTTCATGGAACGCTTAAAGATGCGTCATCATATGTATTTTCGTGTATCAACTCGAATGCAGAGATAGAAGAATTGCGAGATGAAACAAGACGTCTCTGTGATATTAAACCCTTTTGTTCAGTGTTAAAAGTTATAGAACGCGAAGGTATAAAAAGTGATAGGACTTTGGATTCCCAGATTGGTCTCCTGATTGGCAAGGGATTGCACGAGTTTGCTGCTCTGAAAAATTCCGAGGTCAACGATTTTAGATGGAAAATGAGACTTTTGGGAGACGAGGTAGCATTAAGTAGACAAAAAAAGTCTTGGACGGAAAAAGTGCATTATCAGTTTCCTTCGAGAATAGCACCGACACCTACCACACCTAAAAATATTGAGAGCCGTTTGGTTAATGGAAATATTGTTTTAGTTACTAAAATCGAAAACTCAGAGGTGAGATAAAGTAACGATAGAGTTGAAAAACGTTAAAAGTTTTCATATAAAAGTAACAAAATGTGTCACGCACATGTAACTTTTATTTCAGGCAACATTTACTTTTCAAATAGCGCATACCACCACGCCACCCGAACTACTTGAAATGATTCTGAACAAAAGGGCGAACACTTTTAATACTCGTGGTGATCCTAATGACTTTACGCTTAAGATTTGCGGGCAAGAGGAGTATTTGATTGGCGACAAGATCCCGCTCATACAATTTAGTTACATTCAAGACTGCTTAGCAAAGGACGTTATGCCGACACTGGTCACGCTCGGCAAACAGAGAGTGCCTGTGGACCAAGATAGCACCTACGAGAATCCAGACGTGGATACTTTGCAGCGCACGAAACCGTCGTCCTCTACGTTAACATTGCGTAAAAAGGGAAAATGTATCTCGGCATGGAAAATCGAAGAACCGTTCTATTTCACGGTGAATGGAATTTCTCGACTGAACTGTGATGCCATTCATCGCACTGTGGAGGTACATTTTTTAGTTTTTTTTTTGTTTAGAAAAGGAAGAAATCTCAAAAACAACTGAAACTTTTTGCAATCACCCTGTTTCTTTTTTTCTTTTTACTTGCAGATCGGATTGCAAGCTGGTCTTTTTCACGGTGGAAAATCTCTCTGTGAAAGTCAGAAAACCAAAGAAATCTTTGTAAGTCACGAGGGTAGTTGCGAATGGGAAGAGATACTTAAATTCGACATTAAAGTTAGAGATATACCGCGTATGGCGCGGTTGTGCTTCGTGTTGTACGAGATAAGCAAAACCGCGAAAGGTTTGAAGAGCAGAAAGTTACTGAGAGATTCGAAACAGGAATTCTTCATAAATCCATTGTGTTGGGCGAATACGACGATATACGATTTCAAGTCTCAGTTAAAAACAGGTGCTATGACGTTGTATACGTGGACGTATGCAGAAGATATACAAAATGACGATCTGCTTCATCCGCTCGGGACAGTTGTCTCTAATCCACATATAGATCGGGCAGCTGCTCTTATGTTAACGTTTCCAAAGTAACTATCTGTTATTTTATTTATTTATTTTTTTTTTTTCAAACTACTTGAGGTAAGATACGCAAATTGTCCCCGTTGTTACATCCACGTCTGTTTGTCGCATTTTATAGTTACGGAAAGGATCAATGTGTTCTCTACCCCACGCCGGAAAAAATGGTTGAGTACGCTCAAACACTGCGGGAACAATCCGACGATCACTCGATGGAGGTGAATTACGAGTCTTGCGTCAATCAACAACAATTAGAACAATTGAGATTACTGGCCGATCGGGATCCGTTGCACGAATTACACGAGCAGGAGAAAAAAACTATGTGGACATTGAGACATCACTGTCTCCGTGAGATTCCTACGCTCTTAGCCAAGCTGTTGCAATGCGTCGAATGGAACGATCATAGGTGAGAGAAGCTAACTGATTAATTGTCTACAAAAAAAAAGAGAATTTGTGCGTGAGAAAGTTTCGCAAATTCTTAAAATCACGATTTTGCGAAAACGTTTTGTAGAGAAGTCGCGGAAGCTACGGCGCTTATACAACAATGGCCGAAATTACCGGTTGAGAAGGCTCTGGAATTGTTGGATTACGCTTACGCCGATCAAAACGTTCGAAATTTTGCGGTTCGCTGTTTAAGAGATGTCACCGACGACGATCTCAGTCTCTACTTGCTGCAGCTCACTCAAGCTTTGAAGCACGAGAATTATTTAGCGTGCCCTTTGACGGAGTTCCTATTGAAACGAGCACTTAATAACCAAAGGATAGGACATTTTTTATTTTGGCATCTTAGGTCAGTAGAAACAGTATTTTGTACGAGATGCTTATTTATCATAGTATATTAATGTTTTTTTCTTCTAATTGCTCGATTTTCTCGAAAATGTGAATTGTCAGGTCGGAAATGCAAGTCGGCGCGGTGTCCGTACGCTTTGGTCTCATACTAGAGGCTTACTGCAGAGGAAGTCAACAACACATGCGATCGTTATTCAAACAGATGAAGTGTCTGGACAAATTGAAGAGCGTATCGGAACAAGTAAAGCAAAAGAAGGACCGTAAGGCGGCTCTTCAGGGCTTTCAGGATTTTATTCAGGAACCGCATTGCGAGGAGGCGATATCCGATGTTCTCAATCCTCTCGATCCGAGTTTCAGGTGGAAACGTATTAAGTAAGCGGATCTTTTTCACTCATTGCGCGGTTCACACTTGGGGTCGAAGTACGGACTTTTTGCACAACACGTGAAACATAAGAAAATCAACCAATCAGGATCTTCCAGAAAAGAAAGTTGGAGTGGAAATGGAAGACTGGACTGGTTTGATTCTCTTGTGTCTTTATGCGTTATGCATTTATGCGAGAGTCTGAGTTGCGGTCCTTATTTTTCTTGCGCTCTCAATCCTCCGTTTGTTTTTTCGTCAGGCTCGAGAAGTGTCGCGTGATGGACAGCAAGATGCGACCGCTATGGTTGGTGTTCGAGAACTGCGATCCTTTCGGGGATGACATTTACTTGATTCTCAAGCACGGAGACGACTTGAGACAAGACATGTTGACGCTTCAGATGTTACGTATCATGGATAAAATCTGGAAGAAAGAGGGTTTGGATTTACGCATGAATCCGTACGGTTGCATATCCACGGAAAATAGGGTCGGGATGATAGAAGTTGTGTTGAACGCGGAAACCATCGCGAACATTCAGAAGGAGAAAGGAACGTTTTCCGCAACAGCGGCTTTCAGGTAACTGTTTCTATATATCAATATCGATACGAGATATGTTAAACGACGAATCAACGGATTTTCTCATTGCTTTCATTTGTTTTTTTTTTTCTCCTCTCGCTTTGTAGAAGAGGCTCTTTACTGGCTTGGCTTAAGGATCACAATCACACGGAAGCGGCGTTGAACAAGGCCATTGAGGAATTTACTTTGAGCTGCGCGGGTTACTGCGTCGCCACGTACGTTCTGGGAATAGCCGATAGACACTCCGACAATATAATGGTCAAGAAGACTGGGCAACTGTTTCACGTGGACTTCGGCCACATCTTGGGCCACTTTAAGGAGAAATTCGGATTCAGACGCGAACGAGTACCCTTCGTTCTGACCAACGACTTTGTGCACGTTATAAACAAAGGTCAAACGAAGAAGGGACACGCCGCCGAATTCCAGAGATTTCAGAGTCACTGCGAACAAGCGTTCTTAGTTTTGCGTCAGCACGGTGGACTCATATTGTCACTATTCGCCATGATGATATCCACGGGACTGCCTGAACTTTCGTCAGAGAAAGATTTAAATTATCTTAGAGATACCTTGGTACGTACCAATCGCTACTTATTGGGAATTTTAAGTAATTTGGGAAAGAGAATTTATGTGAACGCTGTAACACTTAAATATATTTGATTCCGATGTCCGCAGGTTTTAGAAATGTCCGAGAGCGAGGCGCAAAAGCATTTTAGGAGTAAATTCGACGAGGCTCTCTGTAACTCATGGAAAACGTCGTTGAATTGGGCGTCGCACAATATGTCTAAAAACAATAAGACTACTTGAATAGCGACAATCGTGCGGCGTGATGAGTCTGACACACACCTAAGAATGCGGTCACGATGTTATCTAGAACAATGTGCGTCGTTAAAGGTAACGCTTTCCGACAGCATTCGACAAACACGTCGCGGGTGGCTGCTCGCCTGTTACTTGCGAATATTGGAGATCGTCGTTCTCGCGCTGTTGGCATCGTCCTCGTTGGTGCCGAAAATCTTGGACTGTTGTGCGATTCGGCTGCGTAACCAGTGTAGAATTGAGACTGTATAAAGAAAACAAAAAGAGCGAATCGTTTCTACTTGATAACGGACTTGTATTATTTTACACAAAGTGATTCTAAATCGTGAATCAAATATTAGTCTTGTACATTTTTAGAGAAGCGTCCCTACGCAACACACACAAAGCGAATGAATGCCTACGTTCGGTACGAATTAGTACATTCTCTTTCGCGTACGGAACGTAAGGTACATATCATTGAACAAGATTTTTCTTAAGATTTTCGTTTTTTAGGTTTAAAAAAAAACTTATTTTTTGGTCGTCTGACTGATCGGTAATTTCTAACTTAACTCTTAAGTCGCGCGAAAAAAGGTTCGTCCTTTGAGAAAAAAACAAAAAACAAAAAAAAAACTTATTTAATCTGCGCGTTCGGTCGAGAATCGATCAAACCTCGTCTGATTAGGATGTCGGTCCGAAGCCGTGCGTCGTCCATCACAATATTCCGAAATCCTGTGATGACGCGCAAACATATTGCTCACAACAATAAAGTTGCAAGGAATCCTTTTTTTATATTATTGCTCTTATTGAGTCGAGAATGACCGATTCGAAATATAAATGCTACAATGATTTATACACAAATATAGAGACGTTTGTTATTATAATTAATTTACTTTATTCACTGAGGAAATATGTAATAAATCTGAAAGAACACGAGCGACGTTATTTAATTTAACACAGACGAACAAGCTTGATGTGGATTGTTTCGATGATGAATGGCCAACGGTTAGTTCCGCGCCATTCGCAATGACAGTGTGATAGCCCAAAGCAATATCTAATTTTACAAAACTGCACATACACACGAACAAACAAATACACACACACACACACAGACAGACATACAGCACCGGCAAAAGTATTTTGAATGGTACGAAGTAGAAAGTACATGCGATGCGATCGGCCGATGAAGCGGCGATAAAAAAAAAATTTAAATACTATAAAACAAATATTTCGTTTATAAATATACACCAACCGCGTGGAAATCTGTACATTAATTGCACTGATTTGTATAGGTAGTACACTGCCGACTGATGATATTTTTCTTACACGACGTATATGTATATATGTATATATATATATATGTATATTTCCGTGTGTCAAACAATTTGCTCTTTTCTATTAAAGAAAAAAAATCAATTTTGCGTTGGTGAGGTCAGAAAATGAGAAATTTCCTAATTCACACACACACATATATATGTATATTATTGCGTGATATATCTAACACATATTTGAAAAAAACATATACATATATATATATATATATATACATATGTCTCTGGAAGTAAAACAAAAAAAAAAGAAAAAAGAAACCACACGGTCCGTGCGAGAGATATATTTTTTGACGAGTAAATTTACTACAAATCTTGTACTACTAGTTAATAGTTTTCGTTTCTTTTTTAATTTAAATAGTCTTGCATACATGTTTCATACGCTGTTTTTCATGTATCACAAATCTACATACACCGCTACGCTTTCTCGAAATGGCTCTAAAAACGCACGCATTGTGTGCGCGCGCTCTTTACTATGTAAGATAAGATAATGATCTCTAATACTCTAGATAAAAATAAATAATTTCGCAGACGAATTGCGTCGAGACGCTGCATAACCATATCATCCAGATGACGTGTGATGGTTCTCGCGCCACGTCTCTTTTTTTTTTTTTTTTTTTATTTATTTTCTACGTCACATTCAAATTGTTATTGTCATTCAATTTGTCAAGTTTAATTAGAAACTTTATGTACACACACACACAAGCACACGCACGCACACACACATACACGTAAGATATACAATACACACGTGTGTATGTATACATAAATATAACTTATTAGTAATTTTATTTTATTTTATTTTTTTTTTTTTTTCTTTTTTGTAATCATATTGCTTTTTATGTTTTGTGAATGGATTTGCGCGAGAGAGACCCCACCAGGGGAGCACAGATAGGGCTTGCCAATACATACACGCAATGGGAAACCAATGGAATGAGAGAGGGGCGTTTGTGCGCCTCCGACCGATTTATATCGTGTACGTTCTCGCGACGTACACAGGTGTATACGCATTCGCGATTCCGTAACTTCGGCGAAAAGGACTTCTTGCTTTCCGAGTGATCTCTACTTGAGCGTGGTTTGTGCTACATATTATATATATATATATGTATAATATATATATATGTATATTATATATATATATAATTATATAAATTATTTTACGCGGCAAATATCGAATGCGCGTTACGTTTTCTTCTCTCTCTCTCGGAGAAAAAATTTAATTCTTTTATACACACAACGTACATATTGTCGTCTCTCAAATAATAATTAGAATATGTAATTTTGTACGACGTGCGTAAGTCTGTATTGGTCTGTTGTAAATAAAACCGATCTCTCTTTCTCTCTCTTAAACTCTCCTTGCACTCTCTCTCTCTCTTTCTCTTTCTCTCAATTGCGAATCATCTCTGGAGGAATCGCGCGCGCTGCGACGAGAAGAGCGTTACACGCTCGTAATCGGATTAGAAACGTGTCTCTGTGCAATCTCATCGAAGAGGCGAGGCCGTTACAAAGGAGAAAGTCAAAAAACGAGGAACAAAAATAAAAGAAAATGACGGCTACCGAGGAAACGGAGCCGTTGATACCGTCAACGCCGACAACGTCCACCAGTAGCAAAATTCACAGAGTCACTTATCACACGATTTCCACCGTGAGTATGAGCGAAATCACGTGCCGCAAAAGTGTCGTGAGATTTGCGAACAAATATTTTTTTTAATGAAACAAAAAGATACATTTTTTTTTTTTTTAATAAAAGCTTATAGCATTCGCGTTGAAGTGAGATAAAAAAATAAAAAAAAAATAAAAAAACTATTACGATCGTTGTAGGATGAGAGGAACGCGTCGCACGATTCGAGTCCGGAGACCTCCTTCAGTTTAAAACCGATTGCGAACGGTGTGAACTTCGATCACGAGATTTACAACAACAGAATCACGTACACGTGGAGCGACGTGAACGTTTACTACAGCACGAAAACCGACAGGATATGGGATCGGCTGATGTTCAGGCCCAGAAAATCCGTCGCGCAAAAGCACATACTAAAAGACGGTAAAAAAAAAAAAAAAAACATCCGAAGAACCGTAAAGTTTTCTTTAAATCGTCGCAGTTTCGCAACAACTGTGCGCGCGCTCTGCTTGTTTTATATTTGCTCATTAAAAACGATTTATATCTAAGTAACAAACAAACAAAAAAAATACACAAAGTAACGACAGCGTCGAAATAGCAAAATTGATGAAGAAACGTACACGTAAGTGCAATGTCTCGTATTTTTCTCGGACGGGAAAAAAAAAAAAAATAATATTTTTAGTACGCGGAATGGCGTATTCCGGCGAATTGCTCGTAATTATGGGCGCGTCGGGCGCGGGCAAGACAACCTTGTTGAACGCGCTGACGTTTCGTTCAACACGCGGGGTATCCGTGTCCGGTGTGATGGCAGCCAACGGTCAGAAAGTAACGGCAGGTGTCCTTACCTCGAGGATGGCCTACGTGCAGCAGGAGGACCTGTTCTTCGCCACGTTGACCGTGGTCGAACATCTGACGTTTCAAGCGGCGGTGCGAATGGACCGGCACATACCTCACGCACAAAGAATGAAGAGAGTGAACGAGGTCATCAACGAGGTATATTACGCACTGTATGAATAGATTACGTACGAGCGAGCGGTAAATAAATCTGCAAAATAATCGACTATCGAATATCGAATTACATGAACCTTGGATTTGCTAGATTTTTTCTTCCTTTTTCATACAAGAACTGATGTTTCTATATATTTGTATGTTTACTGACTTTACAAATACGTATATTTTGTAAATTTGTCACACACAATATTTCTATACAAATTTTTATGAATATTCTCTTTCGAAAACAGCTCGCTCTTACCAAGTGTCGAAATACCACAATCGGTGTACCCGGTAAAGTAAAAGGTCTTTCGGGAGGCGAGATGAAGAGACTGTCCTTCGCCTCGGAAGTTCTCACCGATCCTCCGTTGATGTTCTGCGACGAACCAACGTCCGGTCTGGATTCCTTCATGGCCCATCAGGTTATTTCCATCCTAAAAACATTGGCGAGTGAGTGTGCGTGAACGAGTAAGAAAAAAAAAGAAAATCTTGCGAAAAATTATTTGGCAAGAGTTGCAGGGTTAACACAAATTTGAATCGATTTCGATAGAACGTGGCAAAACAATCGTTGTTACTTTGCATCAACCCTCGTCGGAGCTGTTCGCTTTGTTCGACAGAATTTTATTGATGGCCGAAGGAAGAGTCGCTTTCATGGGTACAGCCGCGCAAGCTTGTTCTTTTTTCAAGTCGTAAGTTTTCCGGCAAACAAATATTTACTTCGAAGTTTCGCATTTTTTAGAAATTATTATTATTATTTTTTTTTTAACATATAAGGCTGCGAAAAAATTTCACAAAAACAACTCGTGTGATCCTCGCGTTGTTGAAAAAAAAAAATTTCCAATGTGTGTATTATTAGAAAAACGTTAATAGAATAATTCAAAAATGTTAATAGAATAAATCCAGAAGAAAAACCTGTACACACAGAGATATATCAAATACACACAGATTTGATCCAGTTTGAAACTAAATAATTATTATCGTCTCATCGGCGTTGTTTACGACATTTGATCTGTCTTAGGCTCGGCGCTGCGTGTCCTAGTAACTACAATCCCGCAGATTATTTCATACAAATGCTGGCTGTGGTGCCGGGACGCGAGGTGATCTGTAGACACGCGATTAAAACGACATGCGACACCTTTCAAAGAAGCGAATACGGCATGAAGATCGCTTTGGAAGTCATGGTTCACGGCGAATTCGAGGATTCTCTGAAAAATTCGAAAAATTCCGATCGATCGCCCTACAAAGCAAGCTGGTGCGAGCAATTTCGCGCCGTTCTGTGGCGATCCTGGCTCTCGGTGATCAAGGAACCTCTGCTCATCAAAGTTCGCTTCCTGCAAACTATCGTGCGTGTCAATTGAAATTCTTGTTTTTTTTTTTTTACTGTTTTGCAAAATTAAAGAAAAATCTCTTCTTTTCCGTTCCATTTTGTAAAACTAACTGAGAGATATTAAGATGACAATATAAATTATTTATGTAATCGAGTTTTAATGTTTTTTTTTATTTTCGATATTTTTTTCTTCTTTTTAAAAAAAAGGTTGTTTAATTTTTATTATCTTTTTTTTAATTATTATGTTTTTATTATTGTTTTCTTATAATCTCCGATAAAAAGACGTAACACAAAAGACAGTCTCGCGAGAGAACTAATTTGAATTTTTTTCCATTCGCAGATGGTCTCGCTGTTGATCGGCGTCATTTACTTCGGCCAGCAAATGGATCAGGACGGCGCGATGAACATCAACGGCGCCCTGTTCATCTTCCTCACCAACATGACCTTTCAGAACGTATTTGCGGTTATTAACGTGAGAGACGCTACGCGCAAATTACAAATCAATCGAGTAAAATTCACAGTAAAATTTTTTGATTCTACATTAAAATTTTCGTATTGCATCCGCACACACAGGTGTTTTGCGCGGAATTACCGATATTTCTTCGCGAGCACAGAAACGGCATGTATCGCACGGACGTCTACTTCATCTGCAAAACGCTTGCGGAAGCGCCGATATTTCTGGCGATACCGCTGCTCTTCACCGCCATCGCTTACCCCATGATCGGCCTCTATCCCGATGTGAAGCACTTCTTCATCGCCGCTGCGATAGTGGCGCTCGTAGCCAATGTGTCGACTTCATTCGGTATAATTTAGACCAAACTTTCTTAAGAAATATATCACGACAGTTTCTTCAAACATCCTCTTCATCGTTTCACTCGACTTGTTTTGTTTCTCACAGGATATCTAATATCGTGCATCAGCAACGGCGTGGCGATGGCTCTTTCCGTGGGTCCTCCGGTGATAATACCGTTTCTGCTTTTCGGCGGTTTCTTCTTAAACACAGCGTAAGTATATTTTAAAGACGATCCGTATACAAGAGATATCATCTATAAGAATATCTGCAACAAAAATAACTTACACGTCGCATTACATATGACAGATCAGTGCCATTCTACTTCAAGTGGTTCTCATACTTATCCTGGTTTCGTTACGGCAACGAGGCGCTTCTTATCAATCAGTGGTCGGAGATCGACTTCATAGCGTGCACCAGAAACAACGTGTCGTGTCCTAGGTCAGGACTCACGATCCTTGAAACGTACAATTTCAAAAAGGAAGATTTCTTGACGGATATTGTCTGCCTGTTCGCTCTTATCTTAGTATTTCGTTTCCTGGCGTTTCTCGCGCTACTGTCCAAGACTCGCCGCTCCAAGTAACGTCACCGCCAAGCAATATCATCATCATCATCATCATCATCATCGTCATCGTCATCCATTCGTCATCTTACGAATGAAGACAGCGTCTGACCTGCGAAGAACCACAGGTTGTTCTCACGCACGCCTGTGCGTAAACGTATAGTGTTCAATAAATAAATCATCTTAATCAAAACGTTGTATTCTCTTCCTTTCGTTTTCATCAATAAAGCGCATCCAGAACTAGTGGGTCGTTTCAAGACCCGAGTTTTCAAGTTTTCATTAAATGACCGAACGTATATACGACACATATAAAACGTTGCAAAAATTTTAGAACCGCAGATTTGGACTTGCAGCCGTGAGAATTGTTACAAGATCTCGAGACTATTCACACGTACACACGCACATACGTACACACACACACATAAATCTCACGTATCGTTCGCTGACCGCAAAAAATCGCGCAATAAGAAAAAAAAATGTGCCTCGAACGGAACAACGCACCGCACGTACTTACGTACTCACACGTACGTTGTTTCCTATATCGGGGTTTACATCTCTTTTTCGTTCGACACGTAGATATTATTACAAACCGGTTGCCATGTATACCGGTGCGACCGCGCGCGATACATACGTATATAAGAAACAAATCTTGGGAAGACATTTGGAGATCGCACACTTGGTACCGTTAATAATGCATTTTTGCATCAACTCCTTGCCTTTCCAGATACGTACGTACATACATACGCACACTCGGTTGTCCAGACAATTCGTTCGCATCCTGTCCGGATACTTGGGAGTTCTTCTCAAGAAAGAGGTGAACGTAAAACCAACGAACGAAGTAGCTGAACCGAGAAAAGTGAACTCGAGAGCTGTCGAGAGCAAGCCCGATTTTATGCGAGAAGAGACATCGGGTGATTGAAAAATCATTGAGTGCGCGCATATAGTATTTCGTAGCCATGCTCGTTGCGATTAGATACAACGATATACGATTAATTCCTATGGCGCGAAATAAGATCGGCTTGAACTCTCTCGCCACACATGTCTGTCTGTCGCTTGACGGTACATATAAGGTTTCGGTTTTCAATTACCGCACGAGTCGCGAACGTTTCTTCCTTGCGACGCGAAGGGGTTCATTTTTCGGATACGTGAGTGAAAAAAACCTTGAGATTTTACGCGCGCGCACAAAATTATATTCTCTCTACACCCGCGCGAGAGTACAGAGATCCAGCGCGCCACAGTTTCGCAAAACGGTTATGCGTAATGTTTGCCGAATCTTATTTTTTATCTTATCAACGTAATCATCGTCGAAAATTACACGCGCAATTATTGCGCGGAACATTGAAATATTTGAGGAGAGACTCGACGTTTTTTCTTCCTCTCTCGCAATCAACGCAATCGCAACAAACACATTTCGCACTTGAGAATTCAAACAGCAGGATGCAAATTTGAAATTTGCGTTGGACGGTAATTTTTGAAAAAAATCAGGATTGAAAAACTACGATATCGCAATTCAACTTTTGTATGTCCGGAGAAGAAAAAATTTACACAAAAAATACATCGAATCGAAGGATGTTTTGCAATTAACTCAGATTTACAAGAGTTCCCCCGATGCATTGGTGAGAGATACGTGTGTATTCAGTTGCGAACAAAGGCGAAGAAGGGAAGCAAGCGAATATCGAGTGGTGGCAGTAGCACGGCTGACGAGAAGCAAGTGCCGCGGAGAGACCCGCTTTTAGTGCCGATCTTCATCTCGTGCCTTTTTCGTCCCGTCTCTCGAGCTTTAGAATCTAAACAGACAAGAATCTATAGATACATATTGCGCAAAGTAGGAACAAGAAACAATGCTTTCCTGGCAGAATCTGTCTGTTTACGCGATGGACCGGCACACCGTGAGCAAGCAGATCATCAATAGCGGTACTCTTTGTGACATCATTACGAAAAAAATCGCCGATAAACAGTGTGACATTTGTGTGTGCAATTCAATTGTCAATTTTTTTTGTTTGTTTCAGTCCGAGGTGTGGTACGACCCGGCGAGCTCACCGCAATTTTGGGAGGCAGGTAAATTGTTACAAATTATACACGCTTGTCATATTTGCATCAACTGGCGTATTACGGTGTGTATTACGTCTAATGGAAATTAATTTTTGCCCATATGTGACACGTTTTTTTTTCACAATGCAGCGGCGCTGGAAAAAGCTCGTTGATGACCGCGTTGGCATTTCGCACGGGATGTAAGTAGAATCCTTGCAAGAGAGATTTTTTTTTTTTTTTCAAAGCACACGTGTAGAAAAAAAAGAGAGAGAAAGAAAACGAGGCTTTTCGTTTCACAACGTTCGCTTTCATTTTTTCACTTGATTTAACAGCCGGTATTGTGGTGCACGGTGACATTCGCGTCAACGGCGTGCCGACCACTTCTTCGTACATGAGACGTCACAGCGGTTTTATGCACCAGGAGGACCTGTTCATCGAGACGTTGACGGTGTTCGAACACATCTGGTTTATGGTGAGCTCTGTGCTTAAAAGTTTTTTCTACATTTTATTTTAATCTCGAAATATTCTCTATCCTTTTTTTTTTTATTTTTTTAACACTTCTCGCACATCAGGCTAGAATGAAACTAGACAAGAGAATTCGCATCTCGGACATTCGATTGAAGATCGATCGTTTGCTGAGAGACGTCGGTTTGCTCGAGAGACGCGACACTCGCATTGGCGGCGGCGACGACGACAAGGTTCTTTCGGGCGGAGAGAAGAAACGATTGGCTTTCGCCACCGAAGTAAGTAGATTTAATTCCCCGCACGAAGGATTTTTTTTTCGCGCGATTGACATTTCGTTTTTTTTTTTTTTTTGTTCAGCTACTGACCGATCCGGAGATAGTGTTTCTGGATGAACCGACCACGGGACAGGACGCGCACTCGGCCGGCGTCCTCGCGTCGCACATGATGTCCTTCGCGTCGCGCGGCCGCACGATCCTGTGCACCATACATCAACCGAGCTCGACCATCTTCGGTAACTTTCATCGCATAATCCTTCTGGCTGGCGGCAGAGTGGCGTTCGCCGGAAGCAGCGAGAAAGCGATACAATTTTTCGCCAAGTACGTTTGTTTTCTCCCCTCGTTCGTGACATGCTGAAATCTAATTGAATATCGTTGTGATTGGTTGCATTGTTGCATATATCGTGTCGCTAATAGTCAAGGCTACGTGTGTCCGCCCAATTATAATCCGGCCGATTTTTTGGTGGCAACTTTAGCGCTCGCACCCGGCGACGCGGACGGAATAGTCGCGCAGAAGATATGCGACGCGTTTCTCACTAACGAGGCGTGCAACGAGATTGACGTCGCGTTGCAACGGGAGCGCGACACCGCTCGTTCACAGTACGCCGTAAGCAGCTCGCGGTCAAGTACATCATAGTAGAGATGACGACACACACAGTTTTCAACAATTAAACGAACTTTACATGTGCATGTCTTTGTTTTTCAGCGCAAAGAGGATATTCGAAACTCGAACGCCTTGTGAGTATAATTCTTTCTCATTCGTTCTGAGAAATTTTAATCGGAGTAAGTTTTTTTTCACTCACAATGTTTTTATTCAGTCAGGGACCATGTTGCTGGTTGCGATTGTACTGGCTGATCCATCGTGGATTCTTGCAAGTCCTGAGAGATCCCTCGGTGCAGTTGATCAGGATACTGCAGAAAGTGGTGAGGTCATCTTGAAATCGTTCAAGCGATTCTTCGAATACGGGGGAAAAAAAAAAAAAACAACCTGGAGAACCGATTAAGTAGTTTGAAATCTTTACTTCGAGTAAAATTGGCATTTTTTTACGAAAACATTAAAGACGTTTCACATTTGCTGCAGTGCATCGCAACGACCGCCGGCCTGTGTTTCGTGGGAGCCGTTGAGCTTGATCAATTGGGCGTTCAGGCTGTGGAGGGTGTAATATATCTCCTCGTGTGCGAAAACACATTCTTTCCCATGTACGCGACCTTGGCGTTAATACCGCAGGAGTTGCCGCTCCTTCTTCGAGAGTACAAAGCGGGCATGTATTCCGTTCACCTTTATTACATAGCGCGTATGATATCGCTGGTAAGCCTAATTATTTTTAAGCGCGTTCTCGTTCTTCGCTTCGGTTTTTCGCGGATCCTCTTTGAGTTACGCGAGTTGAAATTTTCAGATACCCGGTTTACTGGTTGAACCGCTACTGTTTACCGCAATAATGTACTGGGTCACCGGATTGCGTCCCGCGATGGACGCGCTCGGCTTAACCATGTTGGTAGTTGTAATGACGATAAACGTGTCCACCGCTTGCGGTGAGTATACACGCGTTGTTGATTAAATTCCGCGCGCGGGTAGCGGAATTCTATTGTATATCACATATATGGTTCACGCGGAAGTTTTTACACCTTAGGATGTTTCTTCTCGACCGTCTACGGAAATGTGCCGCTGGCAATGGCGTACCTGGTGCCGTTAGATAACATTCTCATGATGACCATGGGTCCTTTTATTAAACTCGGGTAATCATCGCATCATTGCGAGTGATACTGTCTCTAAAATATTTTTTTTTTTCATCAATAAAAAACGAAATTTAAATTTAAAAAATTTACATATACACAGTTTTGCGTGTGAATTTCTCTGGTACTGACTGGTTGTGTTTTATTCGCTTGACAGCTCATTGCCTGTATACGTTCGATGGGTGCGATATTTCTCCTGGCTGCTGCACTCAACGGAAGCTCTCAATATCATCCAATGGAGAGGTGTGCATAACATATGTAAGTCACGTGTAAAAGTCAAACACACACACACACACACACACACCGGGTGTGTCGTATCTTCTACAAAGTTATGTGACGGATTTATGTCTTATGTCGAACAGCCTGCGAAATCACCCATCCGGAACTGCCATGTCTCACCGACGGAGTCGAGGTGTTGGACCGTTACGACTTCGACGAGCGCGATTTTTGGCTCGACATCGTTCTCATGCTTCTTCTTTACACCGTCTTCCATTTGTTGGCTTGCGTGTTCTTGTGGAAAAGATGCAAATCGAAATAAACGTACATATATCTAATTAAAAACTTACGACTAAACATTTATATACATAATTGACAAAAAACAACACGCACACTCTTCTGTAAAATACATATAAAAACAAATTTTCGGACGACGCTGTATTTTTTGTTTTACATTCATAATCCACTTTCGTCAACTCGATATACAATAAGACGATGATATGCGGTTTTGAGAAGTTTTTACATATTATGCAAATGGGAGAGAAAATAAATGCGCGAGATAAAGTTTAATGATACGTGAGAGAAACTCGGTATTATCAATCCGTTGCATAAAATATTAGACCTGCGGTTCTCATCCGAGAGCTAACGTCTGCGGAAAATTTTCACACGGAATATTTTATACTCTTTTTACTTACTTGTTTTTTTTTTTTTTTTTTAATTTTCCTCGAGTGACGAAAAAAATTGTCGCAGGTTACAATCGCGAAACCTCCAGAAGTTTGTTTTGAATTTTACAGCATTATAATAAATAATAAATAATTTTAATTGTTTGTATTATTAATCGTTAGAATTGGCAGTTGCAATCTTGTTTTTTTTTTTTTGTTTTTTGATTTTTTCTAAATATACAAACCACATCGATTGCAAAACGTTGTTGAAACTTGCGCTCCCACGTTCGGACGGTCGCTTCCGATTGGTCGCGCGCCGCCATTACGATCGCCACCACCGCAACCACGGGACCGAACCCAGACAGGGAAATGATCTCCAGCGACCTCTCGGTCGCGGAGCCAGTAGTAAGCGCAAGTTGGTGCAGGGTCTGGCCATGTTACCAATGCGGTGTATGTACTATCTGCTCGAGGTAGTGCGTAGTGCCAGGTAGTGCGAGGTGGCGAGTGGCGTTTTCTCGTTTGTTCCGCGCGTCCGGATTACGACCGGACGCGACACATATACGTAAACGTCGTTGATCATGATAGCGCGTACCCGATCCGGCGGCTGCGTCACGTGTACGTGCCTGGTGTTACAAGATTGAAATTATCCTTCGCGCGAGAGAGGTGTCAAAAAGTCTGGAATAGAGAGAAGGTAGAAAGAGCGTCAAAACAGTACAATTTACACGCGAGAGAGAGATAGAGAGAGAGAGAGAGACGGGAGTTCTCGAGCAAGTGTTATTATTCGCCAATAATGTGTCCCGAAACGGCGACCGCGGCTCGTCGCCGTCGAACGAGTAAGGACGCCCGGACGAACGAAGCCATCGTCATCACGTCGAGCTCCCGATGCGACGTTGGACGCGGATGAGAAACGGCGCTTTGCGTCTTCGTGGACTAGCGGAGGCGCTGCGAACGACGACCGCAAGCAGTGTGCGATATTTCCTGCGTGTGAGGTAACGTGCACGTTGAAGGCTTTACGCGTTTTCTTCTCCATTTTCCCGAAATCCACATTTGCTCCGATCAAACGCCGGCTGATGATCTCTCTTCTCTCGGTAGGTCTTTTGCGCTCTTCCGCCTTCCTATTTTTTTTTTTTTTTTTTTTTTTTCTGTTTTTTTCGTTTCTCCTTTATCGCGCCGATATACGTACGTCCTTTTCTCTTCCCCTCCTTCTCTTTCTTTTCTTCTACGCTCTCGACCGCGACGTACAACCGCACGTATGTATGTACAACGTACGTACGTTGCGAATGTCTGCGATTTCGCCGAAGAATCTCTCGTTGTGGTTTTTGAGAAACTCGTTCCGTGGTGCGCGAGTTTCGCGACCACTCGTACTCTCCACCTCTACGTACATTTCATCAAAGTGTGTATCAACGTCGTATTGGATTTCTTGTTTCAGAACGTGCGCTTTTCTCCGCTTATTAAGCAACAAAAAAACCCTGAGCTTGCTTTGCGCCTGGCTCTTGCCAGTTTTTTCAACACGAGGATCAGCGTCTAGCTCTCCGTCTTTCTCTCTCTCTCTCTTTCTTGTCCGTTGGATTTTATGTTTATGAAAAAATAACGTAATATGGCGAAGATAAATGATTTTCGACGAACCAATTTTCACACACGCGAGAGGCAAGCGCGCGTCCGTTTTTCCCCATCGTCTCTCTTCCGCGTGCGTCTTCTCCCAAACGAACTGTTTATCAGAAGCAGTCCACGATGATGGATATCATCTCGCAATAATAAACGGGGCGGCCGGGATCGCGTGTCATGTATACACGTACGTAGAATGCATCGAAGGCACGTGCGTTGGCTCGGTTGTTATCGCTCGTTATTATTAAGCTCGATTTCGCTAAACAAATATCGCGTTGCACCGCCGAGAGAGCGCGTGCGAAAAAAAAAAATTCTGAAAACGCCAACATAAAGTTTTTGAACGCGTAATTGTAATTTTTCCAACGGTCTTTTTTTTTTTTTACTCTCACTCTTTCTCTGTCTGTCTCTGTCTCTTTGACATGCGTATTTTTGAGAATGTGACATTTGTTGTCTCGCTCAACGAAGAGGGATGAGATCTTCGCGGACTCTTTCGAATCTGATCTCAGAATATCAGCGCTGTTGTCACGTACAGAATTTTGAAAGATAATGGCGAGATAAAAATAATCGCAAAAAAGCGCGATCGCATTTTTCGCGCGACAAACGATTTTACTTGCGCACAAACGATTTTCTCTTCAACATATTCTCTCTCGCTCTTCGTCGCTAGGCACACTATCTCTCGACCTTCAAAATGAACCTTTGTTTTATTTACGTTAGATATCTATATCTCGTCTGTGTGTATCTTACACGCGCTTCTGGATTTAGAGAAAACCCCCGAAGAGAGTTGCTATCTTCAAATCTCTTCTCATGTATGTTTTCGAATTTGGCTGTGCGATGACAAACGAGGATTCGCTACTGACACAACGCAAAAAAAATAAAAAAAAAAAAAAAAAAAAAAAAAAAAAAAAAAAAAAATCAGCGATTCTCTGCTTTCTACAACGAGGAAAAAAACGAAAAAGCCACACAATTTTTCTTATCGAGATTTTATTTTTTTCGCTCCGATATCCGGGCGCGTGATAACAAAATTTTGAAATCAAATTCGAGCGCGTGTCGGATCCCCCATAAAAATCACTCTTCCTCACTATGAGGGTCGACAAAAAAAAACCAACATCTCAGTGTTGCACAGAGTTCGTGTTGTTATAAATAAAACTTGTGTTTTTATTAATACACTTTGCGTAAAATATCTCTTGAAAAAAAAAAAAAAAAAAATATGTGCATATTCACCGCGTTCGGGCGTATTATCGCACGGTTTAAATAAAAACGCTTCTGCGTGTGCACAGGCAGTGATCGTATTTCAAAGTTCGAAGCGTCGCGGCGCGTTTTATTCTATTTTTTTTTCTCTCTCTCTCTCCGCTCGTCTCGTGAAACGACTGTTTTCTGCTAGATCGCGATGCGTTCGCATCGATCGAAATTATCGCGCGATAGGTGTGGCTTGTATATACATATATATATGTATATATATATACGTACTGTTTTCTTTAAAATCGAAGATAAGCCTCACACACACGCACACACACGACGATACGACCTGCTCCGCTCGTTATATTGACGCGTCGCGACGCGCTCGCGTCTCGTTCTGTCATAGTAGCGATACATCATCTTGTAATCTTGTGTGAAATAGATAAGATCGCACTGAGAGTTCTATTAAAGATATAGCTTTCTCTCTTTCTTTCTTTCCCGCTTTTCTCTTGTTCTTCTTCTTCCTCTCTTCCGTTTTTTTCGCAAGCAAGTTTTGCACTCGCCGCTTTTTCCAATAAAGACCCGCGCGATCTAGCTGTGCGCGGCGCTGAATGGCTTCGTATTTCGATACGCGCGTCTGCACGCGATGCTCGTTCGGCTGGATCACGGTTTTTACTACGTGCAGGTTTTTCTGTTAAAACCATAAGAAACACACGTACGTTGTGAAGGAAAAAAAAAGGAAACAGCTGTGAAACTTTTTTTTTTTTTTTATTATTAGCGCGGTTTTTTTTTTCAAGTCTGTATGCTCTTGTTTCGCGAAAAGAAATCAATGTGTGTGTGTACATGTTACAGATTTAATACAATAATTAATATTTATATTACACCACTCACACTTACATCTCTCGAATAGTTAAATTAGTCCCAACACACATTCCTAAATAACTCGCGCGCTAAAAGAACGCAAAAAAAAAGAACATCTTCCAACTTTTGCGTGTATAGATACGTGCGCAGCGCCTTTCGTTTCTCGAACACGAAACCACGTCAATTCGTTTAATGACGTTAATTCTGCGGATGCCAAGATGTCGTTCAAGAACTTCTGCTTACTGAAAAATTCTCGATCATGCGAGCTAGGTCGCGTAGTAGTACATAGTAGCGACCGGTCGGACATGGTTTGATCGGGAAAATGATCGCGGCTCGCAAAAAATATCGCGATTATTACCAGTATAATTTTTACGGAATTTAAAGAGAGTCGCGCGCGTGTGTGTGTGTGTGTGTGCGCGCGCGCGCGCGCGTAAGTTTAAAAACAAGAATTTCTCACTTCACGATCTTTTTTTTTTTTTTTATGTGTGTCAACTCGTTATTAGCCCACTTCGGATAAAATCGGATTTACCGAATTTGATAAAATCGAGCGGATAAAACGAGTCGTTGAAATCGCACGTAAGCGTGTTTTTAGCGTTTAAATGTTGTCAGATTATTTCGCAACTTCGTTCGAATTTTATATCTTCAATCTGTCTATTTTCAGTGTGTTAAAAAGATCGCTTACTAATGAAAGTAATTTTCAGAGTGTTTTTCAAGAGATTAAAAAGAGATTTTAATTATCAGATATCGCAAATTGTCGATCGAATTGGGAACCTCGGCTGTTAATTAATGTTGAAGACGAGTCGCGACGACCAAATCTGTAAATTATTAATAGTTATTACACTTATTTTATTTATGTAATTAATTATTATTGGTACTTATTTTTATTACTTGTCTTTTTGTTACGTATTTATTCTTTGTTACTTATTTTTGTGTTACGTATTTTTCTTACTTTTTTTTGTGAACTGTTATTTTCTGACAAGACCTTCATTGAGACGTATATTGGTTGGTTTCAGGTAAAGGTACAATGGCTGACGACCGAAATAACCAGCGGAGCTTCGTCAGGCAGCCACACGGAGTGAGTAACATTTTCTCAATAGCATTAATCGTCAATACGGTCAGATAGACTGTATGCTGAGTAGTTCGATGGGTATGAGAGCTCTTTCAAAATTTTGAACAAAAAGTTTCGTCATGTAAACGGAATGCCAGAACGAACGTACCAGAGAGAACCGAGCACACGTGTCTTTGATCGTTTCTTTTGTATAATTTTTGATCACTGTATTCAATTTTGGACAATGCGATGTTTTAATTTTTTTTTTTTTTTTTTTTTTTTTTTAATGGTTAATCTATTTTTTAATTTGCGTAAAAATTCAAAAGACAAAAAAAAGTTTCCATCTCCATGGAGGAATTTCTATTTTCCGAGAGCATCGACGATGACAACAACGATATAATTTATTGAAAAGTAGAGAGACGCGGTGGCGTCGAGAGACGCTGCGTTCACAGACGCGGATGGTACATAGTTCGGAAAAATCAATGAGCTGCCGCTCATGATTCTCGCATGAATTAACGGTCACTTATCGCAAGTGAAACGGGATGGGAAAAATAAATGAGAACAAAGTCGATGAAAATTTTCTCAAGAAGACTTTCGGTAAACCATTCCGAGAGAAAGAGAAAAAGAAAGAGATGATGCTCCGTCGGTGGCGGTATATAAGCGCGCTGTGGCAGTTTGCGTAAATAAGCAGCTTAAAAATAGTCCACTGAGTACGTTATGCCGGAGAGCAGATAAAGCCTATTCGGCTTTAAAATTACAGAGAGTAATGCTATGCGGAAATTTCCTGATTTTTTCTCCGCTTCAAGGATTTTTTAAAGCAGATTGTTTTACAAAGATAGCTTTAGTAGCTGCATATACGACATCTAGTTTTCTCTCTCTCTTTCTCTCTCTCTCTCTCTTTCGTTTTACTTTATGAAAATATTTCATATAAAGCGCGCCGGCATTTTCACACTTCGAGCACAACGAGCTGAAATGTTGCTACGTGTGTACTTCGATTTCGCAATTCGCAGCGTCGAGTAACGCACAGTGTGAAATATTTCCATTGTTCTATCTTTGCTTCTTGCAGGCGGTTCTTTGTTTTATTTTTTTTTTTTTTTTTTTTTTCGCCGCTTTTAACATCGAGTCTTGCGCTGACCCGTGGCATAATCGTACGCAACGTACTATTACACTTTCTCGCCTCAGAACGCTTGCTCATCGATTACTTCTCCGATTAGTCCACCTACTGTGTATGCCTGAATCTGCCTACAATGACGCAAATCCGGCCGTCGCATCGGGCATCAGCGTGCGTGCGTGCGTGCGTCGGTCTTATTGAATAAAAAAAAAAACAGTCGTGTATCTGCTTTATCTTCGACAAGAAGAACGCGCCTCTCTCTCTTTCGAGAGAGAGAGAGAGAGCCTCGACTATCTCTTGACGATCGCGCGTCTCTGAAGTTTAATAAGAACTAAATTTACAAGACCACAAACAATTTCTCGAGTTACAGAATCAAACGCGCGTTACTTTCATATAATATATATATACATATAATATATATATATATATATATTTTACGCGCGCATCTTTTCTTCTTTCTATCTTCTTGAATAAACTCGCGTGTGAGAAATCGTTGAGTATTTTTATTGCTGTGAATATTTTCTCTACTATATATATATGTGCGACTCTCGCGCGTGTGCGTGTGTCTAGTATTTATACGATTAAGCATGATCATCTCGGGAGTACCGGTCATTCGATAGTGCGCGCGAATGTGTGTTCTTTACACGGCAGTTGGCAAGTATCCGGAAGTCACGATCTTCATTTGAAAAAAAAAGGACATTCCTCTTGCACGCGGCGCAAAATAAGCAAGACCGCAACCATTAATTGATTCTCTCACTTCATACCCTCTCTCTCTCTCTCTCTCTCTCTCCCTCGTATTGACATCGTCATTGAAATTCTATTCAATTAAATCTCACATGAGAGAGATCTTTCAGCTGTATTTTTTTTTCCGTATTTTTCTTCCCCGATGCGCGTGAAAATGCCTACTTCAGGTAGATAAAAAAGAAAAAAAAAAACCACACACAATGTAATGTCAAGTGTGAAACTGAACACGTCTTTTTATTTTTAGAATATAAAAAAAAGAGAAAAAAACATTGAAATATTATTTTCTCCTTTCGCGTGATTGAAGGGTTAATACTTATTTCTCCGATATGCAACAGTAAATACGAATGAATGTGCGCAAGAGCGGTAAATGTGGTCGAGAACACGGAACACACGGGGGGATCTCGATTTGCGTTGACCGCGCGCGCGCGCGCGCGTATATACGAAATATCGCACGGAACGTTGCACCTGTGCTTGTGAAAGCGGTGCAACGCCGCACCGCTGACCCTTTCGATTGACGAAACAAAGCGAGAAACGCCTGTCGAAGGTTGTCTGTCGAGTTGTTTGTTGGTTTTGTTTTTTTTTTTTTTTGTTTTTTACACAACGAGAGAATGCGCCGCGATTCCCTTTCGGAGATTTTTGATTCTGGTTGTGTGACGAAAGCATTCGCACTCGATCGAGTTGTCGGTCGTGTCGAATTCTTGAATTGTCATTCCGTTGAGCTAAGACTGCCTACATATCGTCGTAACAGATTAGAAAGATAATAGGAAAAGGTCTCTGGAAGGAAAGGTAGAGATTATCGAGTTAAAAATGCAATTTATTTTAAAGATGTCCATTTGTGTTTTAAGGATATCCATAAAAGAGAGGAAGAGAGAAAAGCAGAGAAAGAGAGAGAGAGAGAGAAACAATTGAGTCGAGAAATCGAGTTTGTCGGTGGTGAAACGTCGTTCGTCGCACGGCCATATCATCGGCTATGGCGGTTGTTTTGCAGGAGGCAACGACGATAACGATGACGCGATGTCGCAGGAGGGAGTAGTGCGCATCGTGCCTGAGGATTCTCATGGTCGGTTCCTGTTGACAGCCAGTCGGTTGCGGCAGTATCGCCGTGACCATCGAGCCGGTTTATGGCTTCGGACAGTAGCGGTTTATACGTTAAATATCGTTTCCTGTTCCTTGTCGAGTGTTTGTCTTGTATTTTTGTTTTGTTTTGTTTTTAATCTGTCATTTAAGTTGTCCGAGTGCGATGTGAGGGCACTGATTCAACCGTTACGATGACGTCGACGGCGGCACATCGTTGTCGCGATCGCAAACGTTTTTAGCAACGTGTTACTCGAGAAACTCTGTGTGAGTTTAAAAGTTTTTTCATTTTCATAGTTCCGCGGAACCGCGAAAGGAGACACGCGAGGAGGTGACAAAGTCGAGTGAGAAATAGATCAGAAAAAAGTCTCAGAATTGATCGTTTCCTGCTCTCCTTACGTGGTTTCTTTCTTTTTATTTTTTTTCTTTGTGGGATAATCTATGTACGCGATCTCCTTTTTTTTTTTGTTTGCGTCTCATTGCACATCTTCGTGCGAAAACCCGCGATAATACAACAGATTCTCTTCTGCATATGTTCTTTCTCTTTCTCTCTCTCTCTCTCTCTCATGAGAATTGTCTTACAATAGTTACGTTTTCTCGAGATATGATATAATTGTTCCGCGTGTAAGATACATAAATTGTGCGCGGCGAACGCTTCATCTCTCCATAGAATTCGCCTTGCGAACGCTTTCAGCGGCGTCGGGAATCGGCGCATTGGAAACCAACTATCGGTCGTCGATCGGAGTCGCTTGTTACGTAAAGAGAGTTGGTAGAGCCAGTGAAGCAAAATTATGTAAGTTACTGGCGCTGGGAGATGTACAGAATGTGACATTAAAAAAAACATCGGTGCGAAGAAAATCATCGCAAATGGTGTACGGATTGGCGTGAAACAAAAACCAAATTGTTGTACGCGCGTTAGTACTTGTCGCGATACACCGATCGAGAATACAATAGAGTTCTCGTGTCGTGTAATGTTCGCTCGGTGCGTTTGTCCGATTTCTCGGAAAATATTTCATCCAGGTGAATATATTTGCCGTGTCCGCTTCATTAGACACGTCTTTATGAGTTTATCCTTCAATTGTGAGTTTTTTTTTTTTTTTCATCTGTCAGTACGTCGCGTTGTCATCTTCGTCCCGTGTGTGTGAGACACTTTTCTTCATCTGCACTTGGAAATAATTTTAAAACACTTAACAAGTGTTACCGCAGAAAAAAACTGTCAACGGAAAGAACTGAGAAAATTTTCCTAGCGAGAATTTTTCTACTTAGCGATTGTTTGTTCACGTCCTTCCTTCACGTTTCAACGTAACGTATTTTTACACTCAGCTTTTAAATTAAAACTCATGTGCGATGGCATATTTACTAGCAACACACATTCGCTTACTCGCACACACACACACGCGCACACATACACGCACGACTTCCCCCAAGGCAACTTTCGATAATATTTCTCTGAAATGGCGAACGCACATAACGCTTACCGGAACTTGATATTAACGACGTCGGAACTGCGCACCGCGTGAGGCCGGAAACGGCGGTTCGCGGTCACTAGATAGGATAAACAGATTTCGCGAATTCGGGACCTTGCGTGAAACAAACAAACAAACAAACCCGGTTAGGTAGCAGCGATCAAGAGTTTGATCGTTGGAGACCGGGATCGAGAACGCTTTAGACGAGAGAAAAACTCGTTTATTGATTCTCAAAGAATTAACAAACACGCGCCGTATCGATTTAGCATAAGGTCGCGGAATGTCGCGACAAACATTCTTCGGAAAACAAATTATGTGAATTGCGAGAAAAAAAAAAAAAAACTTTTACGTTAATTAATTCCCCTCGCTTGTGACATCACACGCTTCGATTCCGACGTTGATCGCGAAACGGGTCAAATACTTGATACGACGAGACTAGCCTCTGGTGGATATCTGATGATGGGGAAGGGGGAAAAAGTTTCTCCCGCGTTCACACATAGAGTGCGGCCGGAAATATGGTGTAAAACTATAAACCTCTTTCGAGAGAAGCACCCGCGCGCGCGCACGCTATTCTGCACGCACGTGGGACGGAAACGTAGAATAGAATCCGTGAGCGGAGTTTGACGGAGTCTGTGATGTTGACGTCCCCCGTTGATCCCCGAGGGTGAGAAAATGAGTTCGTTAACGAGCGAGAGTCCAACCCAATACACACACACACACACACACACACACACACACGTAAATATACTCTTCCTGATTTGCTTGTTCCTTCTCGTCGCTTTTCCTGGCAGTCCGATAAGAGGGGAGAGAGAGAAGAGAGCGAGACACATGACACAACGGGAAGAGGATATCGAATGTCGATTTACGATGCGAGACACGCGTATTAAAAGACACACCGGCACGTTAAGGAGACGTGTCGCACGCGAATATGTCCACGTAATTATTGACCGAGCTCCGCAACTACTCGGTTTGGTGACCCACTTACCGTTGACAACGTCTATTCTCTTCTGACCTACATCGTCATCGACTCGCTCAATCTCGTCCAATCTGTTTTCCGTACGTAGGAACATCCGATCGACGCTCTCGCGGTGCCGCTCTTATTATTATACACGCACACTCGCTCCGCCGCGCGATACCGGGAAAACTGCTTCGAGAAACAATTGTATATGCAACTCTCTCTCTCTCTCTCTCTCTCTCTCTCTCTTTCGGCGCTCGAAGATGCGATTCTTGCGAATCCAATCCTTCGAAGGATTATACGATTGGGTCTCTCTCTCTCTCTCTTCTTCTCTGACCCCTTAATTCCACTTGAATAATCAAGAAGATGGTTTTCGATGATTCGAATCCGCGCGTTGGTGGCGTCACTTTCACACCGACGCGTTTCGTTGACGTCAGATATTCGAGTCAAAAGTCTCGCTCTCTTTGCGCACGCAAAAATTTGACGTACTCAATATACGTAAATTTCAATTTGTTTTTTCTTTTTTTTTTTTTTTATATTTAAATATACGTGGGTGGAAAACCTCTTACAAAACAAATGCAGACTCCATCGGATCTCGAGTGTGATCATTTCCTCCCTGGACGTGTCGTCAACAAAGGGTTGATCTCCAACGTTCGCATCGCGAGCGATAAATTCTTTCTGTGCGAATTCTTTCTCTCTTTCTTTTTTTCCTTCCTCACTTCCGTGCGATACATTTGATGAGAGATTTTGTCTCTCGAACGGAACAAATTCCATTCGTTTCTTCGACGTTATAGGCGCGTGTTACAAGCGGAGAACTCTAAGCTGCATATTCTCTGGCGGTACGCCAGATTTCGTTCAACTTGCGCCCGGCGAAGAGGAAAAGGAAGGAACGCGCCTCAACATCTCTCCAGAACTTCGTGCCGTCACCTCCGCTTCGACCGTCGGAGCTTGGAATAATTCTTGGCGAATATCCACGTAGAAGTCTTCTCGTCTGCCGCGTTTTCGCGTCGCGCCGCGATATATACTTTTCGTATCGGTCGTCTGGCTCCGTCCGGACACGACCCGCGCGTGCGAAAGACTCCGAGGAGAAAACTCAAAATGAGAAAACAAAAGAATTGGAAAAGGAAGACTTGATCGAACGTTCCGCGAACGCTGCGCGAATCCGCAGCATTCAATTCGGATTTCTATTTCGGTTCAATTCAAACCCGATCCCGGCTTTTCGGGATCACAAATTGCGCGACGTCCGTTTGCGCGCCGGGAGGTCGGATCGCCTATTAATACACCGCGTGTACTATAATCTCGCGACGAGCGAGACGCGCGTACACACATTTCCCGATCGGTGGCAGGCAACGACATCGATGACGTCACGTGGTGGTGTTTCGATCGGAGAAAAAAATTCGATTAGTAATGAATAAAATAACAAAATGACGCGCAGTTCCGCGCGTCTTGAAAGAAAAGGAAGAGTGTCTTTTCAGCGGAACAAAGATAGTTAATTGAACGCGTGAACAAACCGAACGTTTGCGCGAGTCTGTTTTGAACCGTATTGACCTTTCCGCATATCTTTATCTTTGTTCTTTTTTTTTTTTTTTTCAAGCTTCCTGTTATTTAACTCCGTTTTATTGTACATACAGGTAGGTCACACGTCTCCCCCGCCGCCAGCACCGGGGCCAAGTTCGGGCCTCGGTTCGGACAGTTCGGCGTCTCCCCGTTCCGTTCAGAAGGAGAATTCTCCGCCTCGCGGTCCTCGGACTCTGCTGCTCAGACGTAGCGAGAACGGCTATGGATTCACGCTGCGACACTTCATCGTTTATCCGCCCGAGGCCTGCTGTGTGAGTTATTCATCAGAAATGAAATGAAAAACAAGAGATAAAAGAGGATAACGATTGAATTGTACAGATGTTGCCGGGACACGAGAGGACGAAAATCGACGAGCCGATGGACACGATCTTCGTGAAGCAGGTGCGGGAGGATTCACCGGCGGCTGAGGCTGGATTGCGTACCGGTGACCGCGTAGTTTCCGTTGACGGAATGCCCACACGGGGCGAGCAGTACGCCAGCGTGGTGCAACGCATTCAACAGGCGGGACCATGGTTACGTCTTCTTGTCGTGTCCAAGGAAGACGATATTTTGCAAAAAGTAGGATGATGAAATCTCTTATTTTGTTGTTAATGTTTCGAAGATGTTTTTCGGTTTTGATCCGCGTTAATGGATTTTTTCACTTTTACATCGACGTTTCGCGAACATTTTCAGTTCACTTCATCGATATCTCGCACTGCCAAATAAACGTCGCAGAGAATAACACTGTAACAATTCGAACAAGTTTCTATCTTTTTTTTTTTAATTGACTTTTTACGAGAAAGTAGATTTTTTAAAGATTTTTGTCAGTTTCTTCAATTTCTCATAGTTTATTTTTACCCGCGTAATAAAAATACGAGAATGTGTTAAAATGGATATATGTGTAATAAATATATATTTTTTTAATTTATAAATTTTATTTAACTCTTTCTAGTATTTCGGTGACACGGCACACAATCCTGAGACGAATCCACGGCCGCGATTGCGTTCTCCGGAGAGAAGTTTGTCGCAGAAGCAACGCAGATCGGTCAGCAGCATGATCCCGGGTCCGTCGGCAAGAACACGGCAGGTGTCCTGGGTCTGTTCTTTGTCATCCGACAGTCCAGGTCATCACGAAGAAGCGATCTGTAGGAATCAGCAACCCGTCTACGCGGACAGCAGGATGCCTATGTCCCAAATTCAATCGATGGCGGAAAATCAGATGACGAATACGTCGCAGCAGCAACGAGACGACGCGAGCGCGACTTACGATCTCTCGGAAGAGTCGAAAATTTCGGGAAGAAAGTTGTCGCACGAAGACGCCGTTAAACAGAGCGGTCGTTCGTCACAGGACTCGAGATACGATTTGTACGATAGAACGCGATCCGAGTCGGTTTATTCGCGACCGAGTAACGAACAGCTCTACGACAGGATCAACGATCCGATTTACGAGCGTGTGCGCATTAGCGAGCATCATCCGCAGCAACATTATTATCAGCCGTCTCTGCTGCGATATCCGGTATCGCAGGCGGAACCGCAGGTACCGATCTATCGGCCGGTTAAGCGAATTGTGGCACGGCGCGCCAGTGAGGGCAGCGGAACCAATGATTCCGAGACCGCGAGCTACGGTAGTATCGATCTCCTTAGATCGAACGACTCTAGCAGACTTAGTATAGAATCGAGACGGGACTCGTCGCCTGCCGCCAGCAAGGAAAGCATGTCTCCCTACGATTCTAATTCGACTCTCACCGGCAACGAGTGTTCGGACGATTCCGTCATCATGAACAGACTCCGCAAGAGCTTCGAGCAGAAGGCCGAATTCTTGCGACGGCCGAGTCACCCTATCGGCTGGTCGTCTGAATCGATGCCACCGTCACTGCCAGGTATTAACCAAGCCGCGGTGATTCAGAGAGAATTCTACGCGAGACCGCAAAAACTGCAGAGACCGATCTGGCCGCCTGGTCAGAACGAGCAACAACAGAGGCAACAGTCGCCCACGAGGAGATCTTCTCAGGAGAGAAATCACACTCCCAGACCTGCCGCGAATCTGATGAACAAACCGTCGAATCAGAGTGTGCAGAGGATAAAGGACGTGGACTCCGAGTACGTTAAGTCGTCGCGAAGCGATCATCAGCTCGGCGACAATCAGTCCACTTCTGGAGATCACTATCCTTACTCGTCGCTCGTTTACGACAACGAAGTCGCGAAAGAGCAGCAATATCGAGGCAAAACTAATTTCGTCAACATTCTGTCGAGGATACAAGAGAACACTAGCACGAATCAGCAACAAACGTCGCAAGAAGTGAGAAACGGTTCTTCGTCGCTGCCGTCTTCGCCAGGACCGGACAAGAAAGCCGACACTAGGTTTCCGGTTCCGCCACAGGGTCTGCAGATCGTCTCGAGACGTGCCAAACAATTCGAAACCGGTCGTTTGCTGAGCGACGAGGACGAACCCGCTGGCGATCGAACGAATCTTTACAAGAGTGAGTTGTCCAGATTGTCGAACAAGAAAAGCGTGCCGAATGTGGCTGTGCGAAAACGAGAGTTCGAGTCCAAGGCCGAGAGCCAAGAACTGAGAAGAATACCGGCCAGAGAAACCAAGTCTCTCGATACTGGTAAGATATTCCAATCAGGTGTCAATAATAATCATTTTTCACAAGGTTCTAAATAATCACCATTTGTTCTTCACAAGTTGGAAATCAAACAAATGATTACTCTCAGGTCAATGTTATAATAAGTAAATAAGTGTCGTCGGTTTAGGTGCAGTATTAACAGGCAACAGAATAATTCCTATAGGCAGCAGGCATATCCATTGCGAACCACCGGCTGACTATAAAGAGAGTAAAGGTAGATAAAAAGAAAGAAGCGTTGAATTGTATTGTGTGCACTGCTGTCGTGTGTCTCCGGTCGCTGGTGTATATTGTCGGTGATTCGCATGTATTCCGTGTGTGACCGCGCTTTGACAATAATAACTCGCAGAAGATAATATTGTTAGCTACACCACACGTGTGTACATATGTTTTGTCCCATTGTTCTCTCTTCGCTTCTTTTTCCGTTTAATTGGAACAATCGATCCTCACTTCTGAATAACGATAAATAAATCTGAAATGGTAAATTTGAAACTCTTGTGTTTTATATATATATATATATATGTGTATAGAAGTGACGCGTGTAATTTGGAGCTTAATTACGAGAAAAACAATAACTGGGCTCAAGCCTGTAACCGGAAATTTTATGTCGATTAATTTTTATGCACAAAAAAAGATATTAACCGCCGCCTCTTTGCACTCAATGTTTTTGTTGCTAAAGCTTTTTGTGACACGATAAAATAGCAAAATAGCAGCAACAACACGTCCACCATCGATGCTTCTATGTGGCTACAACGCAGATGTATATCTCGCGTTAATACATAATTGCTGCCGTTGATTTATAAATAAAACACGATAGATGCTGAGATTCATACACGTGTTTGCAAAATGTCAAAGTACCGCAATAGTAAATTTAAATTTCGTGTTTCTCTCACGCGCAACGCATAAAAAATTAATGACGAAAATCTTGAATCGGAACAGATTTGCCTACTGTGGAGACAGACTCAGTACGCCTGAGAGCACGTAGCAACAGCGCGGAATCATGGGAAACCACGAACGGGCCGGTGACAAGAAGCAGCACCAGACACACGTGGCAAACCGCCGAGGAGGAAAGCGAGGACAACAATAAAGATCCCTGCAAACTGGAGAATTATTTGCAGTCAACCAAACTACAAGTCGGTTAGTCTTCTTTTGCCACTCTTGTCTGCCCACTACCTCGTGCCCACAAATATATATATATATACGTCGTCACAACTCGCACATATTTACGTTGCCTGTAAAGGTCGAGCATAAAGCGTTAATAATCGCGTCCCATTGGTTTCTCTTTCAGCGCCGGTCAATGGTTCTTCGCACAACGTCTCGACCAATAACGTCGTACTTAGACGACAGAAGAATGCACAGATCAGTGAGTCCAAAGGATGATGATTTTTATATTAAAGATATTTTTAATATTAATTGCGACGCGCATAAAAATCTCAAGTAAAACGAGAATTATGTTTCGACGAAATTACGCGTCTTTTTCTCTCTCGAACACAAAATAAAGTATAATCTCTTTCTTTATTTTGTTTTCTTTTTTTTTACGCGCGCGCGCTCATTGAATTATAATATCATTGTATGCAAATAATTGACTGACGTTAATAGTCGACGGTCAAATATAAATTTATTTAACAGGTGACGAAGATCGCGCCACCAGACGAGTTTCGTATTTGAAAGCTACGTGGGGCGAGCGAATGCACGTTGACAGTGACTTAGAGCTGAGCGATTCTGAACCCGTTCATATTCACAGAAGGTAAATATAATGTTTCTCTTTTTCTCTCTTTGTTTTTTTGATATTCTGTTAGTCTTGGTAAAGTCTCTGACAAATGACGTTGGAGTGCGGATGTCGCGCACCACCAGATTTATTGCCTTTTCTCGCACAACACCAGATTGTCAACATTGACGACACGTCCCCCTTCTCCCCGTGCTTCTCATTTGTTTGCTCATGCAATAACGAATATATATCGAGCAACGTGGCAATTTCGTTCCCCTCGAAGGTGTTGATTGTAAGTATACTTGCAAGCTGCACCTATTTCGTGTACATTGTTTCCAGTGCACATAGACGATGGCGGCCGCCGTTATTTCCGAGCGACATAACGCCTCTGCGACGCATTTTTGAAGATATGACGCAGGCCGCATCCTTACATCGAAACTCTCATCATCGGTGAGGGCGAAAAAATTCTTTTTGAGAAAAAGCACGGGAAAAAGTTGCATTATCTGTACTCTGTGCGTTTCCTCCTTCCAAAGCTAATGCGCATTTCGCTTTCGTTTCTCGATCTCTTCCACGTTCTTCCGCGCTTCTTATTCGTTTTGCGCTAATTTATCATCTTGTAAACGATGATGTCGTGTTGTAATAGCGATCAAAAGCATGAGAGATACGCGCAGTGTATTTCGACAACATTATCACAATACGACGACGAAGGTCTTACGTAACGTCACATTTGCGTAAAGAGAAATAAGAAAATTGAAATTTAAAAAGGAATAGAATTAAATTAGACTTTTTTATTTAATAAAAAAAAAGTAAAAAAAAAAAAATAGAGTGTAGAGAGTTCACTTAACTAATAATATTTAAAATAAATTATTTGTTTAAAAAACAGTGTTAACTGTGTTGCGTTATATACTGACCTGATTTAAATGCAAGAATTGATTAAAATTTATCAACACCAGTCTAGAAAATTAAAAACTGACAAAAGCAATAGATTAAAAATAGAACAAAGAAGAGAACAGTAAACGAAGTTGCAACGTTAAGATAACGAAAAAACACATTAAGTTAATGGTTTTCAATGTGATGAAACTGTATGTGTCATTACAAATTTGTTTATGTTCAGTGTTTTAGTGAGTGGCATTAGATAAGATGTATTCTTTCTTGTTTCTTATTTCTCTTGCGATAAGGGATGTCCATGATGTCGAGAACACATAAAATGTGACATATCCCATGGTTGTTTTGACATTCAAACTGTGCTGTGTATGGTATCATCGACACGCTGCGTTACTCTAGAGATTCTAACGTTAGAAAATTACAATTTTATGTTATCATTATATCATCATCATGCGTTTCCTGTTATTTTAGATCTGTCGTTGTAAAATACACAATTGTATACGTGTTATTGTCGTTTTTTTTAGATACTGATTTATGTGGACGCTGAATATGTGTTACTAACCGAATGACACTAATAAAATGAAAATTGATGTGATCGCTGTTTTTTTTTTCTTTTTTTTTTTTTTTTAATGTCGTTTTCAAACTATAGAAAGAAAGAGATACTCTAAAACTGTAGATGTAAGTTTATACATGTATATAGCAGTGTAGTATAATAAAATTTGCTCTTGTGCTATTTCTGAATAGGCAGGAAGCATTGTTTTGTCGTACGATGACTCTGCGTTTGAACGAGTTTTTAGAAGTGCAGGAAAAGCAGATTCAAATAGTTTTGTTTATTTAATTGTTTGTTTTTTTTTTTTGCAATAACGGTAATATTATTTTTTGCAGCAACAGTATCACTGCCGCACATAATGCGTCGAACAGCTGCGACGGAACCGCAAAGGATATCGAACCAGTGGAACGAGAGGGTACCCTTCATGTTAAATTTACAGTGCTCGATGGCAAGGTAAAGTCACAAATCTTACAACTCTTCGATTGATGGCGCGCGCTGATACGCGTTGAAATTTTGTTTCTCAATTATTATTTTATTGCTTCAGCGATCTACCGATCGTTCCTGGAAGCAGGTCTGGGGTGTTCTCCGCGGTCCTATAATATATTTTTACAAGGATCGTCATAGTCAGGTAAATGGAGAGAATTGTTCATCAAACAAAAACAATTTATACAAGAATAAACTTACTTACTTATTTTTAATTAACAATCTGTGCAGCAGAGTCCTTCGTTGAGTACCGAGAATGAGCCAAACGCGGTGCAAAACGTCGATGTTAGATGTTCTGTGGTTGACGTCGCCGAGGATTACACGAAGCGGAAACACGTGCTGCGAGTAGCGAATCCCACAGCGGAAGTGCTTCTACAGACCGAGGACGCGTCATCTATGGCCCTCTGGTTGAGATCACTTCATTCTCACGCCGCTGCAGAAAGATCATCCGTAAGTTATAAAACATTTCTTAATGATGAAAAAAAAAAAAAATCAACCTCTCTAGTTACTTTTACAATTTTTAATTTATTCATTAATCGTGTTTGACCTAACACCTTCTGTGTGTTAATCCTGCTTTAATTGTCAAATTGTAATTTCTCATAAAAATAATATTTTATTTATAGGACGCTTTATCCTGCACGTTAAAGCAACAGGCCGTTCCGCAAACGCCAACGGGTCCCGCGATTTCTAGCGGTGTTCCCCCGAGCAACGGCCAAAGATTGAGTCCTCTGCCGAGCCACAAGGGCATTAAAAAATTAACATCGTTCAGAAACCGATCGCCGACGGGTCAGTCGCCTGTGAACAAAACGCGCAAACCGAGCCAAGTGATAGAACCTCTACCCTCGCCTAAATCGAAAACTTGGAAGGGAAGAGTGGCGAAACAATTCAGAAAAATGCACGGTCAGACCGGCGGCGGCGCGCCTTCCTCGCCTACGGCGCAGTTGCCGCCCGAAGGAGCTACCTTCAAAGTACCTCTCGAGCTCTGTCCACCGTCTTCGTTCTCCGAATACGTGCCGCTGATCGTCGAGATGTGCACGAGCATCGTGGAGGCGAGAGGTCTCGAAGTCGTAGGAATCTACAGAGTACCTGGAAACACCGCCGCTATCTCCCAACTCACGGATAGCGTCAATCGAGGATTCGAGAATATCAATCTCCAGGTATTTCATCTGACGGTTGCCCTTCTGAAAGTGTGCGCGTGTGTGAACAATCTTTTTGAAATTCACTTTCTTTTGTTACAGGATCCACGATGGAGCGACGTCAATGTGATATCGTCGTTGCTGAAGTCGTTCTTCCGTCAACTTCCCGATTCTTTGCTCACAGCAGAACTGTATCCCATGTTCATCGACGCCGATAAGATAGAGGATCCTCAGAGAAGAATGACCACAATACGGAAGCTACTGCGAGATCTTCCGGAGCATCACTTCGAAACGCTTAAATACTTAATGCAGCACCTAAAGAAAATAGTGGAGCATAGCGAGATCAACAAAATGGAAGGCAAGAACTTGGCCATTGTCTTTGGACCAACATTGGTGCGAGCGAGTGGTTCGAGAGACAACATGGTCACCATGGTTAACGATATGTCCCATCAGTGTAGAATAGTCGAGAGTCTACTCAATAACGTGAGATTTTTTGCTTTGAAAAAATGCTGTCTTTTTAACAAAACATCAGTATGAGACAAACGTATTGTATTTTGTGTGAACAGGTCGATTGGTTCTTTTCGGAAGACGATTTGGACGATTTGAGCAGATTGAGCGTAAATTTGAGCCTGCCAACCGACAGTTGCGAAGTCGAACCGACGTCTAACACTAATCACAATCTTCTACTGAGTAATATCCAAAAAGTCGAAGGTATTTTTGTTTTTTTATTGCATTTGTGTACGTTTTGATCTCAAATTTCAAACTTCATTCTTCTTTGTTTTAATATTGTCATCGCTTTTAGACTATGACAATTCAAGTTTTTGACATATTTTTAACTCACACCATCATTTTGTTCATTTTTTTTTTTTTTTTTGTATCGTGATAAAAACAGGTATACGTGGCGACATGGCATCCGCTAGGGATATTGTATCCTCTATCATATCCGCGGCTAATAAAAAAATACAAAGAAGACGAAAGACTCAAGAAGAAGTTGACGAGCACGATAACGATAAGGTTTGCATCAATCGCAAATTGTTATCGTTTATATTTTAAGGGTGTTAAATATATGTGCGCGTAAATTTTAGGCCAAAACAAAGCAAGAGTCAGAGAGTTCGCCGACAATTCGACAAAGCATGGCTCTAAATGAACGTCAGTGTTCCGTCAGCGAGATCGTACAGATGCACGAAAGCAAATCCCAACCGAATCATTCTACTGATTGCGCCGATCGATCCTTATCGGTTGACGCTAACAACAGCAGTTTGTCCAACGGGACGTCGCCGTTGAATCGTTTCAAGTACGCGAATCACTCCGCGCCGGCGTCCGTGGACTCATCGAGACTGTCGACCGAGACCAATCCATGTTTGGCGGAAACGAGCTCCACCGCATCCAGTGCGTCCAATCAGACGAAGCAGAGTAACGACGAGGTTGCGATTGTAACGTACGCCGGCTTGAGCGCGACCACGCAGGAGAGAGTACGAAGGTTCGAGGAAGAAACGAAAGCGATGCTGCAACGAGATCAGCATAGACAGAGACTCGAGGCCGAGAAAAGAGAGGAGGAGAAACGGAGAATCGAAATAGAGTGGCAATTGGCGAAACGGGAAATGGAGAACGACGATTTGCTCGACAACATAGTCGACACTACGGTGTCGCCGAATCTTTTGTCGGAACATCTGTCGAGCCTGAACGAGAGACTGACCGACACATCGTTAGCGGAACTGTCTGAGAGAAACGCCAGATCGCAATCCATCGCGAGGCCGCATCTATCGATAGCCGTGCAGCAGCAACCCACGATACATCAAAAAGCGCAAGCTACCAATCAACTGACCAGCGTATTAGGTGAGAAGATGAACAACGGCGTCATAAAAAAATTCAAGACGGATAAAGATGTAAGTTTAATAATTTTCTTCGCTTAATAAATGATTGCGTGAGATGACGTTTGTCGCAAGTCGAATCTTTGACTTCCGGTCTGCGTTACAGCCGTCGATGGAATCGATCTGTTTGCCGCCGGTTCGATACGGGAGTCTGGATTCTCTTCACGAAGTTAATAATTTTTCGCAGTCTTCTCCGTCACCGTCGCAACGAGGTGTTCCCGGCGACGTCTCGGACGATGGTTAGTATCATATTAATTTTTTTTATGTGTGTTTGACTTTGCATTTTTTTTGTCCACATGATATATATTTGTCTATCCTGAGTCTCTTCGTGATGCGCACGGTATATTCGATACCGAGATACGATTCTTTTGTGCTGTCAAGTCACACATATTCGAAGACTATAGTCACATATTGCGATAAAGTGTGCGTTCGAACGCGCACGTACGTAAAAATGTGCAAAACACGTGTGAAATACGCGCTCATATATGTAACACGTTCGTTTCTCTACTCGATTCGAGTAGAGGAATAATTCATGTAGGTAATTTATGTAGAAAAACAAAAAAAACGCGACGCGTGTGTACGAATTTTATGAATATGCAAAACAACGCGACACAGAATGTTGCGAAATCGCTGCGGAAAAAAAAAAAAAAACCAAGCGACACGTAATCGAAAGGACTATTCGATAGACAACAAAAGTAGTTTTTTTTTCTTTTTTTTTTTTTTTCACTAAATTGTGTGTACTCGTTGTGTGTTAATTATTGAGAGCATTACGCGCGAGAGAGTTAAGCATATATTGCAACATTCACCCTGTTCGATATGTGATTTAACGATATGTAAATGAGTGTATATCTCTTTATCTCGCTTATCTATATTATTACATACATATATATATGTATATATATACATATATGTATGTATATATATACACATATATATACAATATATTGTATATATACAACACATACATATACAATATATTGTATATATACAATATATACAATATATATATATATATATATATTGTATATGTATATATATACATTTCCGTTTTTCGTGAATATAGTTTAAAATTTTTCTCTCAAGTTTCTCATAACGTGTAAAAGTTATTAACCCCCAAAACGCGTACCATGCCGTAATTTTATATCTAATTATATCTGCTTATTCATATTCTCTTTTTATATCTTTTCTCTATATAATATCGCTTCTGACGATCGGTGAGTGTAGCAGGATCTTGTTTTCTACAATGGACACAGAAGATACTCACTATTAACAAAAAGCTTTCTAGGTACATTCCTCCTCTTATTTGCTTTATAAGCGATCTTTTTTCGATTACAAAGTGTATGTTTACGGGAAAAAAAAAATCATCTCCTCTTTTGATTGTTCCTCGGACAGATCTTTTCTCAATTTATTCTTACGTTTGCGTCCACCATTGATCATCTCGCGCAGCGATTACACCATTTTTCCGAAAAATCATAGCAGCAATCCATTTATTTCGCATATTCTTTTAGTGTTTCGAACGCGTTTACGACACACATACACACACACACACACACACACGTACACGCGCGCGAAGCTTCTTGCAATACAAAAGGCAAATTTATGTATAATTAGAAAAAACAATTATTCTCGGCCAAGCACAAAGAGGAGGGTCGGCCACAAAGAGAATGACTGGGATAACAAATAACGAATGAGAATTTTTATTATTTTCAGGCTTACACATGACCCGGTTTTTGGCCGAGCCTCTATATTTGTTACTTAATAGTGTTGTCGTGTGCTGCATGTCACTCTCTTTTGGCTTTCGGCATTTAAAAAAAACAAAAAAAAAAAAAAACCAAAACCAAAACAAAGCAGCTTCTCACAATTAGCCGTGAGATCCTTACTGATTTGCTCTCACAACAACAATGCAATATCGAAAGGGTTGAGACAATCTTCTACTTCGAACTCTTCCAAGTTTTGAAAAAGAAAAAAAAAATCTTTCCAATAGCGTGTTGTTGCTCAAAGTATACAAAAAATATTCTCACGAGAGCGCCTAAAAAGTCGCCTAAAATTCCGTCTCGATCTTTTTGATGGATTTTAATATATACAACAGATACGAATACAAACTTGTTCATCACGTGCATGTTTTTTTCGAGGAATTGTCACACAAGTGCTTCGAATGACTTCTTCGATCACGTAACACCACACATCGCTTTATCTCTTACAAAAAATCACAAAACTTTTATTGAACGAATAGAATGTATGTACGTTTTTTTTTTCACGATAAGTTTAACCAGCAAGATTTGACAGTGAGTTTTCAAGGCATTTTTCTTTTTTTTCAGGCGCTAATTATTTATTCGTATGCGATGTGTTTTTCTCGAAACGGAGCGTTCGTTTCTTAGTGTCTAATAGAAGTAATTTATAATGTAGCTTCGCACTTATACTCGCCACATAGACATATGCATCTCTAAAAATTTACTATTTTTTTGTTTTGTTTTGTTTTTATTGCTCGTCTGTCTGCAGTTGCCTCTGCCAATTAATTGTGCTCTTTTAATTACTTTTAATTACTTTTATATAGACTGATTATGTATCCATTCGCCTCAGTCTACGTCTTTGCGATCAGACACGCCTGGAAAAAAAAAAAAAAGAGTACAGAGTTGGCTCAAGAGGGGTGCGGTCAAGACATTTCTTCATTTGAGTTACGAAACGATAAGAAGAAATCCGATCTATCAAATGCCGAATTGCGACTATCTTATCTCATTCTCCCCGTTGTCAATCAGTTCTTTCTTTCTATTTTCTTCTTTTTATTATTACGGTCAGAGTTCGATCGCTCTCGTAGCGCATATGTATATTATTTATTTTTTGACAAAGATTATTGGATCGAACGTCAATCGGCGTTGTTTGTTATTCGAAAGCATATACTCCGGACAGAGTACAACTCGGATAGAAAACTTAAAAAAAAAAAAAAAAAAAAAAAAAAAAAAAAAAATCTTATGGTGGGTCCAAACGCAAAGGAGGAAGACGAGAGAAAAAGAGAGTTTTGCTCAGCCGCGTCGACCGCAAAGAATAATGACGATATGATGAACGAATGGTTGAACACTACGTGTAGGCACACAGCAAGTCCAGGATTTTGGTGGTACATATCGTCCCACCTATACGGTACCGCAGCTTCCGGTAGCGCCACCCCGAAAACACCGGTCCAATCGCCAATGTCAATGCCAGTGCCAGTCGCAGCGGTTCCGATGCCAATGCCAATGCCCATGTCCGTGCCAACAACAGCCGCAGCAACAGCAGCAACAGCACCAGCTACGCTGGCAACTGCTGTCGCGTCTTCAGCAGTTTCCTCATCATCGTCCTCATCATGCGCAGGAAACGCGCGATCATCGTCAACAAACGTCGAGTCTTCTGCCGCAGTGCCAGGCACGGGGCCCACCGCCGCCAAGACTCTAAATCGATTTCTTCGAGGTAAATTCCTTCGAGGTGCAAGCTGCCAGACCAGAATCTGAACTGCTGCTACCACCACCACCACCACATCCAGTATCCGAGATGTCCAACGAGCTAACAGCTGGCTCATTCATTCGAATGGCTTTATATACGCTGTTTTTTTTTTCAGTTTATCATACATTACTAAGCACGCGTTCACACACTGTTGTTTGTACTTATTTTTCCGACTTTGTATAACCGTCTTTTGTCACACACATCCGTCCATCGTCGTTTTTTCTTCGTACGCACACATTCGCTCTTTCTCTCTCGCGATGTTTCCCGCCGCTACAAAACCTGCGTCAAGTGGCTTGGTGTCTACATTACATCACATTGAGCACAAATGTGAAACGAATGTTAACGGCTTTGAAACATGGCGCGAATAACGCTGGACACTGCATTCCGTTTTCTGCTGTGCTATATATATATATATATATATGCAAAACATCTCGTCTCGTCTCCTTATGAAAACAAGTGAGAACGATATTTCTAATATCGTTTCTTTGTATTGTTATTTTTTTTTATTAGTCAAGTATCATATATATGTATACGATACTTGACTATTCAAACGTATAGCTATTAACGAAACATGTAACGTATGTAATATTTGATTTTTTACAAAATGATGTCATAAAAATATTTTTACATACATACAAATATAGTTTGCAGAGTTTTGCTTCTTTATCAATTATATGTATTTTAATATTTTGTTCTTATATGTTTTTAATATGTTATTTTTTAATATGTTATTTTTATATATTTTTGATCTTATACGTATATTTTATACATAAACAATATTAATGTTTTGTTTTTTGCGCGCGCGTGCGTGCGTATGTACGTTTGATTTTTACGATATTGTTCATATTAGTTTTTTGAAGATGTGCTCGTGGGACAAAGTTCTTTCTCTTTTTTTTGTGTTTTGTTTTTTTCGTGTTATCATGTAATTTTTTGTTGTTGAAGTTCGTGTAACGTTTACGTCAAAAGTACGAACGGAAGAAATATAATTGACGTTGTCGAATTACGTTGTTATTGCAATTATCATAAAATTGTGCGCTGCTGACAAAAACAGTGATAATTGCAATAAAACCGCTGAGACGCAATATTGAATGATATCGATAGCAATTAAATGGAATAACGATTACACCGATAAGAAAGAAGCAAGCAATTATTTATTCTTCTCTGTAACGATTGCGCTTGACGATGATTTGCTATTTATTGTTTCCTGTTTGATGTTATTTTCATCTTTTTCGCAGCAATTTTTTGTTCTGTGAGAATGTATTCACGCGCAAGATATCACCAGCTGTGATATTCAGCAAGTGCATTTTTACGTCTCGACGATTGCGTTTACGAAATGTATCCGTTATAACAATCGATCGAGTAACAATTCGGTGCTTTGCGTGTTTATTTCTCACGTTCTTTTTTTTTTTCTTTAAAAACGCGCGAGTGACCAACTGGAAATTCTCCCGTTTTACAGGTAGCGATCTTCTGACCAGCCTCACGACCACGTTCGATCGCAAATGGAGGTCTCTTGTCAGTCAATCGTCGAGCCAAACGCAGCCTCTCACGGAATCCGTAATCTGCAACAAAGACGACACCGCGGAACAGCAGGAGCAAAAATCTAACGCGCCTCTCAAGTTCAAATATCTCTCCACGGAAGCTTATCGCGATCCCAGTCTTCACAAGTCGCTTGACAAGAATCATCTTTCCCGTTCCAAAAATGTAAGTTCTTTTCTCATCGCGTTACATACTTGTCTCATATTTACACAAAAATTTCATCATTATTGTTTTCAATTAAATAAAAAACGCAGGACGAGAAAGACATTGACTCAACTGTAACTGACAACGCGATGCATCTCTCGGAATCTATCATCACACCGAATAACGACCGCAGTTTAAACGACAAGCATGAGAAAACGTTGACGGAGAAACTCCGTCAATCGTCGGACGCAAACGAGAAGGACGAGGATCAGAAAAATACGAACGAGGAAGAAGATCGTTTGGGAAATTCGAAACATTACGAGTTGACGAGCGAGAAAGACGTCGAGAAAAATGACAAATCGTCTGTCATCAACGACGTCGACACGAAACTGGAAGACGGTAGCGTCAAAAATCGTCACTACGAGATCGGAGATGCCAGTTACTCGAACAAGCTCAAGAAGTTCGAAAGCCTGACGAATTCCGAGGCGAGATCCCGCCTCAAACGATCGGAATCTCTTAATAAGAGAACATCGGAATGCACCACCTCGCGATTGAAGAGATCGGAAAGTTTGAATAAACACTCGACCGAGAGACTGCCGCAGCTCAAACGATCGGAAAGTTTGAATAAACACTCGAGCGACAGGTCGGAGTCACCGGGCAGCAAATTGAAACGCTCGGAATCGCTGACGAAGACTGAGAAAACCGAGTGCAACATCAGCAAGCGACGGCAGTCGGTGCGAAAAGACAGCGCTACGAAACTGAAGCGAAAGAACGGGATGTCGGAGCGATCGATCAAGCGAAGACACACGGTAGGCGGTACCAAGGACTTCGACAAGGTGCACTGGCTCGATAATAAACTACAATCCGAGACCGAGAGGATCATAAGAAACGATTATAGACCGAAGAAGAGTCAGTTCAGAACGAGCTCGCCCGACCTCAGCACCAATCGAATCGGCATGGCTGACACGAGTTTTCTGATCGAGGTGAGCTTTCGCGGCCCCAGCAACGTCGTTTTCAACGTAACCAACGCCGCTCGTCCGCAATCATTGCCGGACGCGAGTCTCGCATCCAAAGTTTTCAAGGTGCCTCTTGAGAGTCATGTGTAATAATAATAATGAAAAAAAAAAAAAAAAAAGGCAAATTAATTATTCGACACATCTCTGTTCTCAGTTTTTTAAGCGATATCCACAGTAATAAGCTCTGATTTATATTAAATTTACAAAAAACTACGCCATATCACGTTTGTATACCTGACACGAAAAAAAAAAAACACGTAAATAAATACTTATTGGATCTGTGTATCTACAATTTATATAAGTTTGTACGCCGAAAACGTCGACATTGTTCCATCAATCATGTTACTCGCCCAAGTGCCAAAGAGCCATTCATTGACCACTCTAATTATAATTGTTATCATTCAAAGCGACGCTGTCGACAATTCATTGCCACATTGCTGACATTTGCGTTAGAACGAATCGAATAGTAAAAGGAGAGAGCATGCCTCGTGTGTACAGACCGGTACAACAGATCCGATTCGTTTTTGTATTATTAGAGGTCACAACATATATGTTGAGAATTTTGTTTTTCAAAATACGAAGACGCTCTTTAATGAAGGCAGCGAAAGTAGACATAAGTTTTTTGTTGAGAGAAACATACACGAATTACTTAGTGATTTATATTATATGCATGTGGTATTTATATTATGTCAATTACATACATATTATGTCGCACTATGCGAAACTGTAACGTTGTTTGTACATAATACGGTGTATGCGCGAGAGAGAGAATTCGACTAATACTAAATATCTAGTAAAAAATAACTACATATATATATAAATACACACACCCACACAAACACACACACACACATATATATATAGTCTGTCTTTAAAGTTATATTTTAATAATTACAATTTATATGTATCATCGCACAGAGATGTTCTACATGTGTGTATGTGTACAGTTCTGCTAGATTTTTATGTGTGCGGATTATCGGCTATTATATACATATATATATATATATATCTAATATATGCGAGGAAAAAAAAACCGCATTATTTTTTATCAAGTTCGACGGAGGTGATTGCGGTAGGCTAAAAATTATTCACGATTACGTGTGCGTTTTTTGCGGAAAGTAAAAAAAAAATAATCTTCGGATTTCCATGTACTACGCGTTGTTATGAAGCGTGATCGATGCATCATTGAAAGTTCTGCGAAAGAAATATAGCGCGTTCGTATAAGCTAAGTTAAAAACAAAAAAAAAACCCCAAAAAAAACAAAAAAAAACAATATTTTTCACATGTAAGAAACTCTTCGATAAAAAAAAAAAAAGTTCCCGATAAAAGTCTACTATGTGATAAATCTCGATTGTTTATTGCACGTTTATCAAACGTTCAACACATATCGTTGTGCGTGCTGCATATACGCGTGTCGGCGTATTGTATGTACATGTGTGTTTAATTAACACACATGCGTATGTGCATTTTTCTACGTGCATTGTGATCCGTATGACGTACGATCGGTTTTAAGATTACTTGTTGCAGCATTGTAAATTTTATAAGGATAAGCGCGAAGGGCAAAACGGTGCCGTCAATTACATAAACACATACACACACACGCACAAACGCGTGCGCGTACATGGTACTGCCTCCACATAACGTTGTTAGAGATCGTTGCGAAAAACATCACCTCGAGATTCCAGAAGCAATTGGCGATATTTTTTGCAATAAATCTTTTTCTCGGGACGAACGACAAGAGAGAAAAACACAAGAGAAAAGACATGGAACTTGCACAGTTTTGTCTTTTTCTTTGTATGTAGTAGCAAAGACGAAGGACGAGCTTAGAGAGAAGACGTTACATGGAAGCGATACGTTGTACGATGTAATAATCGGTGCCTCGCATAGTGTAAAATTTGCCTATTCTGACGTATAAATAATACGTATATAAGTAATTCTTTGTAACCGTACCGGGAATATTCTTCTAGATCGGTCAAATTTCTTCTCACGCTGTGCTTCGCTACGCGAATCGCGCAACGTGTAACGCGTATACACACTTTTCTTGCAAAGTTTATAAAAAAAATAATAGTTTTTCAAGATAGATCCCTTAGACGTTTCAACCTCTTTTAAGGATTATTGAGATCATATATTATTTGTATACTTGAGATATATATACATATACATATATATATATATATATATATATACTTTACATTATGCGAGTCTGTTTTTTTTTTCTTTTTTTTTTTATCAATCTTGTAATTTGCGTTTTAGCGGCTTGTACGTCATATCCCGTCTCGAAGATCGTTGACAGATCTAACCGCGAGATCAAGCAAATGGCTAATGTCGCATGTGAGAGAGATTATAAATTTAAGAGTTACGATATATCGTGCATTCGTAAATTATATATATATATATGAAAAAAAAGAGCCCTGATATATATATTATATTAATAATTATACGTAAATATAGAAGTTAATATTCGATATATTTCGGGATCGACGCAATATATATATATACACATGTATATTCTACGTTGAATTTTAAACGTATATGAAAGAGAGAAGTAACGTGTAACTTGTGTGTGTATATACGCGGCGGCTCTCGATTGAGAGAGAAAAAAATTTGCACCGAACGTGTTTGCGCGTTATATTTCTTCGTACAGATGTCCCCCGGAGCGACGCGCGCACACACGCACACCAGTCGTTTTAGGCAATTTTTTCATGTAAAATTAGTATTTTATTGTTATATTTACCGACGCGCAAATTTAAGAAATCTAAAGCGTAAAAAAAAAAAAATAAAAAAAAAATAAAAATAAAAACAGCCAAGAGACAATCGATTTCAGTACGCTTGTAAATATATAATACAATTTGAGAGAGATGTGCGACGAGTTAAAGCGATATATTTATTTCGAAGAGAAATTATAGCGATTGTGATCGTGTTATTTATTATTATTAACCGAGCACCGTTCGTCGTCGCGTGAAATTCGCAACAACATCGAACGGAACAATTGTAAATAAAGACATATATACATTATGTATATATATATATGTATGTATTTGTATATATATGTATATATATATATATGTATATGTATATATGTGTATATATATATTATATATATATATATATCAAGAGAGAAATTCAACCTGTTTGACAAAGTTTGTTACCCTATCTCTTTTTCAGCAACAATGTAAATTTAGCAAATAAAATTAACAAATACCGTGGGAGGTGTGCGACGAAAGACGTAGGGGATTGTACGATCAAAGGATGGGCGCCCGATAACGTTGCTTATGCACGTGATCAAACATTCACAACGAATGGTCGGGAGAAGTTTGATTGGTTTACAACATATCACGTGGTACACTCGAAAACTCGAAATTGTATATCGGCTGAATTCCGGTGATAGATCGATCTTGAAGAAAAGAGAGAAAGAAACAAATGAGAAAAATTAACACGTAAAGTGTCTCTTTTATCGAAAAAAAAAAACAAAGTATTTCGTCACTTCGCGCGTTTCTTCAAAATGAACGTGGTACACGCCACATTGCCACGGGGACGGCGCGCTTACGCGAGAAACAGAATTTCTTCGCTACCGAATGCGCAGCGCAATGTCGTTAACATATTTCCGAAATATCGTAAGTGCGGATTTTTATCGCGACAATAGTTAAATATAATTCATATTTTTTCATCAATCAAAATAATAGTTTTTGCAAGTTTCGAATTTTAAAATATTTTCCTTATTTACCGAATATCGATGTGAAATCGATTGCTCGGCAAAGCGCCTATATGCGACGAAAAAAAAACACAATCGTCATTCAAATTTTGAACTTTCGAAATTTCATTGACTAACTTTTATTATTTTTCTCGCGTTCGTTCTTGTGTGACATCAACGACGTAGAATTCGATTCCTCTCATATGAGAGCCCCGACGAGCTCTGGACCTGTGAGTTCTGCCGCGAGCACACGCACACCAAAGCGTATGCGTAGAGATCTCATTTTCACATCTGGCCCGGCGACCACTTCCAGCAGCGTGGGGTGAGCTATTGCGTGCATACAAATTGCACGTCTAGATAAATATAAAATCAATTTTATATGTTCAAATCAATTTATGTTTATACGTTTATACAACATGCACGTCTTGTTAGAACGGGAAATCGTACATCGACGCAGTTTAGTACATCGAGTAACACGGATTCTTGGATAGTAATTGGTGAGCGACAATTAAATAACAACAGAGACTTTTCTTATTTACGGAATATTTAAAACATATTCGCACGCAACAACAGCGTTAACAGCCGGTCGCGGAGACGCCAGAAACGAAGTTGGCCTGGCGGCGATAGATCTTCAGTATCCGTATTTGGTTCTCTGTCAAATTAGCGACTGCCAAACTTACGTCAACACTCTAACGAAAATCAATATTCTCGATCCGATAGAAGTAAGTGAATGATTTGTTTTATTTCGTATTAAATTTTGCGATGAGTGACCCTTCCTGCGATCAAAAAGGTATAGAAGTAATTTTTATTTGTTCTATTTGTAAAAGTAAAAAAAAAAAGTTAAAAATTAGAAAAATTTTGTTCTCTCGAGATACTCATGCCTGAAACTATGTGCGAGCGTCGGGGCCACGGGAATAAACTGTACGAACTGATCAAAGAGAAATTCAACGCGCTCAACATCACGCCAATCTCGCGCATACATTTCAACGAGTCGATCGGCATGGAACGCGTGCAAACATTGTGTTCCAGAGAGTACTCGAGTGTGGAATTAATAGTGAAACAAAAGTAAACGCTAACATTAAATTCTTACACGTGCATTGTTATCAGAGTAAATATGACGATATGAAATTTATAGACACGCTTATCGAGAAGATCGTCTTTTTATCGATTTTTATCGCAGATATTACGCTCTGGCCGCTGCCGCGGCACTGCTCAAGTACGTGGAATACGTCCAGCACACGGTTTACGTTCCGAAATCCGTGCGAATAGAATATCAGGGGTCGCCGAACACCACGATGATCGGTACGACGATACGACGCAAAAAAAAAAAAAAAACAAAATGACAAAGAAAAAAATAACACGTGAAATACTTTTCGTAACGATTTATCTCGCGCAGATCTCGAGAGCGCACGGAGTCTCGAACTGGTCGCCTCGCAGTCGAAGCTTCCAATTGTCAGTCTATTGGGCACCATGGATCGCTGCGTGACTCCCATGGGCAGAAGATTGCTGCGCGCATCTATTCTTCAACCTTCTTGCGACGAACGTTCGATCGCAGATAAGCAATCTTGCGTTGCGGAACTGGTGAACAACCGTTCTTTATTTATGAGCCTTCAGGTATACAGTCGAGCGTGTGACGCAGGGGTGTGTGACGCAGGGGTGTGTCCGCTTGCGCAACTATGTTATACATAAAAAAAAAAAAAAAAAGAAAAACAAAACAAAAATATCCACATCCAACCATGACAATCCATCCATTTTCACAGCCGGTGATACAACGTCTCTTCGGCACGGATCGTTTGTTGACGCTGGCGATGAAACCCTTGCACGTTAACGATATACAGAACGCGGAACGAAACCTAAACTACGCATTACTTCTGAAGAGTTGTCTAGACAACATTCCAGAATTAGAGGCGATCCTCGCGAGCGGCGTCCATCCGTTTTTCGTGAAAACGCGAAAGGTATATAAAAATTCAATCTTCTTCTCTCTCTCTCTTCGTCAAGTTCGACTAGACGCATTAATTAACACGTGTGTTTGCGCATCTTGTTGTCGCAATATGTACATGCACGACGGTAAATTTGTAGAACTTAGCAAACTCCGAGTTTCGAGTTATGAAAGACAAGATCTCGACGCTGATACACACGGACGCGAGATTCGTGAAAGGATGCACATCTCTGAGTATGCAGCGTTGTTTCGCTATAAAGGCCGACATCAATGAACTGTTGGACGTTGCTCGTCAAATTTACTGCGAATTAATCAGCGACATGAAGAGTAAATATATATATTATACATATGTGTTAATTTTTTTACTATTTGTTCCCGTCTTTTTGATATAACTTAGATATTTTTATATTAAAAAAAAAAATAAAAATAAAATATAAAAAGAAAATGTACAAATATACAAATCTAAAGTATGGATAATCATGTTCACTTTTGGAATTTAAAAACAGACATGGTGGAGCAATTGTCTGTGAAGCACAAGCTTCTATTATCTCTGGAACACAGTGTGAATCTGGGCTACCACATCAACGTAGCCGTGCCTCGAAATCTGAACATGAAGATCTCCGATTTGCCGGCGGAATTTATTCAGGTATTTCTTGATTTTTATTCAGATATGTTAAAAAAAAAATCAGACTGATTAATTTGCGACACAATGTGCGAATTTCATCATGCAACAACGCTCTTCGCACAGGCACGCAAGAACAGAAGATCCTTCACGGTAACGACGACGGCATTATTGACGTTGAACAAACAGTGCAAGAAAGCTTGCGAAGAAATTTACATGATGAGCAACACGTAAGTTATTTGCCCGAGAAATTCTTCTTATGGTATTATATTATTTAGACAGTTTGCAGACTGCTGACTCACCTGCTGGAGGACATTAAGCAGCACGTCGGCTGTTTGTTTCAACTTAGCGCCGATGTGGCGGAATTGGACTTGATGTTGTCGCTCGCGCAAATCAGCAGTAATCCGGAATACGTGAGACCGTCATTCGGAACGAAGTTGGAATTGATAAACTCGTTGCATCCGATTATGGAATTATTCAATCGAGAGCTTCCCGTGTCGAATGACGTGGTGATGTTGAAATTTGTTAAAAGAGATTTTGTGACTAAAAAAAATCTCAATCTATGTTTAAACACTATTTGTAGCTACAGTATATATCTTGTTATATTTTATTTATTTATATTTTTTCAACGCAGAATGCTTCGGTATCGTATAATTTTCATCTGATAACCGGACCGAACATGAGCGGCAAATCTACGTACTTAAAACAGATCGTTTTGCTTCAGATTATGGCACAGGTGACGCAACTTCCGTCTCTACAGAGATCGCGATGTCTTTTTAATCGCAACAATTTGATACGATTTGAGTGATTATTTCGAGATACTGATATGTTCATTACTCGCGCGCTTTAATTTGTAGATCGGCTCCTACGTACCGGCGACGAAAGCAACGTTTCGCGTCGCAGATCGCATACTTTGCAGAATAAACTCTCGCGACGACGCCGAGCTCAACGCGTCCGCCTTCGTCGTTGAGGTAAAATTGCGGATTTAATCATTTTATCTCACTAATTAGCATTTGGTTTTCAAATAATATCGAAGTCATAATCAATAAAATAAAAGCCAATGGTATATATATATATAGTGCGCAATCGAATAAGCGCGACTCTCTTTTAGATAAAAGAGGCGCAATACATTCTGCAATCCGTCACGCCCAAGTCGCTCGTGATTCTGGACGAGCTCTGCCGACATACCACAGTCGAGGAAGGCTCGGCCATCGCTTGGTCGATATGCGAGAAATTATCATTGACGTCCGCGTTCACGTTCGCCGCGACGCATTTTTTACATCTCACCGCGTTAAGCAATATGTACTATAACGTGACAATGTACGTGAACATCTTGATCGATGACATCCATCATCTTTTGTGTAACCATTTTTTTTTTCAAATTATCCACCACTTTATTTTCATTATTATTTTTTTTCTTTCCTTGTACTGTCTTGCTGCTTTGTTCAGTCATTGTTTCGAGACGAAAACCGATGCGGAAGATTCGGGCGAGTTACGCCTGACGTACAATCACAAGTTGACTCTCGGGATAGGACCCATCGATCATTACGGCATCGCTTTGGCGGAAGTGTCCTCTCTACCGAAACGCGTCACAACAAAGGCGCGCGAATACGCGAACAATCAGCGATCAGTTCTCGGCGCGCAGGTACAAAATATATTCGAAATTTACAAAAAAATTCTGATTGCACGAAAATTTCTCAAATATAGTCGATTATTTTGTTTTCTCACTTTTCCAGAAAAACTTCGCATCCCTCGCGAGCACCTCGTCATGGGAGAAATCGTGTTACAACACGGTCGTTCAGTTGCGCGCGCTGCTGGACGACAATCGTTTCACGTTTGCGAACATAATAAGCATTATGAAGCAACTGGATCTGCAACAACGCAGGCAACAGGTTCCTTCAAAAGCGACGCAGGTTTTCGTGAGGGAAACACATGTTCCTGCAAAATCGACGAGAGTCACGCGTAAAGAAACGGAAAAACACGAGAAACGCAAAACTCTCGTTTCATCCGAGAATGCTTTGATAGAGCAAACGAGTGGAAACGTGTTGCCGAATACATTATCGAGACAGAAGAACAGAGAACCGGATGACGAATCGATGGAGATCGAAATCGACAACGAGAGAGATTTGTCCATGCACGATACCATCGTAAATCGTACGACGTTTTCACCGTTGTTGCACGCGGATACGAAGGACGCGTTTCCGACAGTGAGTTCTAGCGTCTCACAATTGACGATCGATTCGAAAGTGATGCATTCATTCAACGACGAACAATCGACCCGACCCCTTACTGACGTCGATCCACGATTTTACGTCTGCACGTCCTTCGCGAGCAGTCAGAAAACAACAACGACATTGAGTTTGGGATCCAACGTCGTCGACGCGAACTCAGGAGTGACTTCTCCGTCTTCCGAATTCTGTCGGTCGTTATTGTATCACGATTATTGTCTGTCCGAAAATGACTTTAATAGTACTCTGCCGTCTCAGTCCGAATCGAGCGAAATTGCAAAAATAATAACCCCGCGAAGTAAAGAGGTGGCGATTTTTCGACAAATCGAGGACGACGATTTCGACGAGAAAGCTTTCTTCGTTAACACACAAGCGCAATTAGAGCTAGATCTTGTCACGGACAATGACGCGTCACCGTAATCAGTTTTCGGTGTAATTTCGCGCTATTTTTAGCGCATTTGCGAACACGTTAATTTAATTTTGTCAATTCAATTATAATATATTTTGTTCAATCACATATCGCAATTTTCTTTCGTTAAAAAATGCAAAAATATGATCGTGTGTGATTGTCACCAAATTCACATCGTCAACCAATCGCGAACATATGCGAGCCGCGATAGGATACGAAATTTGATAAAAGAAATTCCTAGTTTCGAGCAAAACACGCGTGTAATATAAAAAAAAAAAAAAAATCAAGGAATCAAAACGTACACACACGATGTAATGAAAATGAGGAGGCAATGACGTGTGCGGAGCGATCTTAGACACCCTTGTTTCGAATTGTCACAAAATCAAAGTGTAAAGGTTAATTTGAACGAGCCAGAGGAAACGAGAATGTGCGACGATTTGCTACCGGAGTCGGTCATGTTGTTTCTCGACAACTTTGAGACCAGCCTCGGTCTGCCCATTCTCCTTGTTATTATACTCTGCACCGCGCAATTTGTGGTCAATCATATTTTTGAAGTCGGACATACGATTTATCGAAATCTCAAGAAACCGATGTTAGAAGCACATACAAAAATGGCAGGTAAACTAAAACGTCGTTAACGAGACACTAAAAAATGTTGAACCTTGTAATAACACACATTTTTTATTTATTTAATTTATCACTAAAAAAACCTTGAATCTTGTGATAACACACACACACATTTTATAATTTATTTTATTTATTACACTTACGTTCTCTCGTAAGTACTTGTCGCCAAAAAAATTCAATATATTTTTAGAAAAACGGATATTTTAAATATGTAAAATTGTAAAATATATATATATATAAAATAAAAATATTTTATATTATAAACAACAAGATCCAAACAAATATTTAAACAATATTTGTAAGTTGTATCGTTAGAATAAAATGAGTTTCGTTGCTTTAATGAGATTTCACTCTGTCTCTTCAATTCTCATCAGGAATATTGGGAAAAACCAAAACAGCCGCCACACCGACTCAAAATCCGAAAACCGATACTCTGCCTCAGGACGAGGAGTGGGACTATTGCGACGACGAGAATTGCTGAACAAAATATAACACAATCTCTTTGTGTATATTTATCGGTTGCAAGTAAAAAAAACCTACGCGTAACATATTACGCTTTTGCTTGATGCTGAGTTTTTTTCTTACTTGTTATCGCGGACTAGCGCAAAAAAAAGCTTTCACGGGAAAAAGAACAAGTGTGAAGACAACTGCAAAAACAGAGAGATTGAAACGCGAGATTTTAATATCTAATAGTTATGAAAAATAATTACTTACGAGAGAAGATAATCGGATAGATAGTTTTGTTTATAAGATCCTGTAAGTTTTTCTTTTTTTTTCACGAAGCACAAATAGAATGCGAAAGAAAGGTCGGTCGAAGACACGAGAAATGGGCCAAGGTTGACAGCTCTCCAAGCTCGACGCCGTGAATAAAGCTTTAGTAGTGGTTCGCAATCGCCATAGCAGTTGCGAAGATGGAGGAAACGAGTGAACGAATAAACCTCGAGACGAGAGGCTACGCCTAACGGTCCTGGTGTTTTGTATCGCAGGACGATCGTTCTGTAGAGAACTCTATTCGGTGGCCAATGAAATCTTTGCGTTAACGTAGCAACAAAATAAAAACAAAATTAAGTTTAAAAATTTTTCCGGTCACCGAAGATTGCGGATTTACAATCGGAATTTTGTCTTTTGACTTAAGATTGTTTTATTTTTGTCTGTACGCACGCGTAAATAAGATCTCATTTTGCAAATTAACGACTGCAAATGCCACCCCAAGTGCGAAAACGCCTCTCTATTTCCGCAAATAGGTCAAAGGTTGTATAATGTTATAACAAGAACAAGAACACACGCGTTCTTGTGAGGTTTCAAATTCGCGATTTATATATAAGCGGCTAAGCCACTTTGGATCACACCACACACGTAATAATTGCCTTTTTGCCTATTTTCCGCGAGTGTCACGAAATCGTTCTCGTTACAATTTTTCACTTATTTTTTTATTTATCAACGAATTCGTTTTGCGTCGGTATATCTTGATTATATGGAAATTGTATATGGAAAAAAAAAAAAAGAACGAAATTTTTATCAGGCAGACAAAGTTCTAGTCATTGTAACCGTTTCCATTGTGTTAATTATCTTTCGTTAATATTTTTCGTTATTTTTTGTAGCAGCCTTCAAATATCTAATTTGATAAGGAAAGACGTAGCTGCCGAAGAAGTGCGAGTCACACATTCTGGTTTGACAGGGTTTTATCGGATCATTCAAGGATGATTCGACGACGAGTGGTTGTGTGATTCGATTGCTCGAGTAGAGAGATATCGATGTTTTGAAAATGTTGAAATTATTTCGCTCCGTCATTGGTGAGGCGGATAAACGCGATATATTCTACGGCGTCATCGATCATCATCGTGTCGTTGATTCGATTCGAATTTTATAACAGCTTTTGCTGCATATAACTCGTTACGGACAAATATTGCGCGACGAGGAATAAAAACGGTTGCGCAAGCGGATTTCAGAACGATCGATGAAGACCCACGTGGTTAATCTGATCTCGCCTCGTACGATAAGAAAACGCGCAACGTGCTCTATACAACAATCGTCCGAGCCATGAGTTCATCGAACATAAATGTCATTTGCTATCGCACATTTGTCCTCTAATTTCTCTCAACGAGCGCATTACTCGGATAGAAACTGTACTTCCTATTAATATTATTTTCTCCATCGCAAAAACGCGCACTGTTCGCTCACTTATTTTTATCGCGTTCTAACGCGTGTGTATAAAAATCAGCATCAAAATTCCACGAGAGATTCCGAGTTTTTTTTTTTTTTCTATAGTTGATATAGACACAGAATATACTAGAGATCTTAAGATGTTACACAATTTTCTAGGTTTCGAAGTTATGTCTTCGAGATATTTTTTCGCGAGTAATTTTGCGATTTGAAAGTTACCGCTTTATCCAGGAAGGAAAATCTAGAAGTTCTCTCTAAAGTTCGCAAAATCAACGTTTGAGGATGCTACGACGAATTTAAGTGCCAACTTTGAGCGCACGTCATTCCGCGATATTCCCGAGCTATATTTGCTCATAAAAAAAAAAACAAAAATAACCCGGTGAAGAATCCACAAAAAAGACCAGTTATATGCGTGGGAAGAAGAAGTCGCTTTTTTTTGTGTGCACTTGAGTTCAACGCCGATCAGACAGGTTACATAATCGTTACGTAGAACTCGACGGCACATTATCGAACAAAAACCCAACGGCGAAATATCGCGAGGGAAACGATGAGACTTCGATGTAAATCTAATTATCGGATCTCTCCGCGGAAAATGTATTCGCTCTCTTGATTAAAACAAAAAAAAAAAAAAAAAGAAGCAAGAGACAACGCGCGATATTCGTGAAGCGATTTGCGTGTATATTTGCGCTGGAAGAGAGCACACTGTCGAACACGTGAATCGAATGTGGAGAACAATCTTGGCAAACACATTATACCACGTCGGCCATGATTGAAAGACTATTCGTGTCGCAGACACACACTCTCTGTTACATTGTACATATGTATACACAATACGAATTTGCATATACGACGATAGGTGTGATTCGCGAGAGAGGAAAACGCACGCGAGTCGCGTCGTCGTCGCACGCACAAACTTCGTGGGTGAAATGTCTGATTGAAACGCGCGCGCGATGGAATAACTTTTTATTAACATAGCAATTTGACGCGAACTTTCTACGGAATCTTCGTGAGTAGCGATCGCGTGTTTGTACACATGTTCGAGACTTTTACGAAGATACGCGAGGGTATAATCGTTGTCGATATTTTCGCGGAGAAAACAAATTTCTGGAAATCGACAAATCGCGCGTGTTGATAACGTGTAATTAAAATTAATTAGAAATTATATTTTTATTAAAAGAATTATGTATTTAGCGCAATCGCGCGTCACATCAAGTTATTTAACACGTGAACGCACAATTGAATGTCATTTATTTTTGAACGACAGTTTTATCCAAGTGAAATAAATTTGCAAAAATTGTTTATTATTATATATTCAATAGTAACAATTTAAATATATATATATATATATATATATATATTGCACAAAATTAATGATTCAGACCTCGTAGGAATTATATTCGATTTCTATTGTTAAAAGCAGAAGAAATTTTAAATATCAATGTCATTTGTATGGTCGCGAAATGACTCACTCAACATAAGCCTCTTTTTACGGAAATATAAACACGTGCGAACCGTGATAAAAAGTCTTCTACGCAGCGGACAAAAAAATATTCGCGTACCTTCTTTTTTTTCATTCCTTTTGATAGACATTTATATTTCGGAAGAACGAAAAAATACAACACGCCGCAAAGTTGTGGCGCCGCGAGGCAACCGAGTTTTGTTTTGAAAACATAAACGCTTAAAATTTATATCTGAAAGATTTTTGTTTTCAATGCCGAATATATGTATTATAGGTAACCTCGTCTTTTTTTTTTACGCAAGTAAAACCTCATCGGAATTTTTACAACAACATGTTTCTCGGCGATTTCAGAATCCAGATTCCCCCCGTGAAAAAAAATATTCTCCGCGAAGCACCGTGTTCGTAAAAATGTGCGAGCGACACGTGGGGGAAAAAGCGCAGGTAACGACGAGACACACGTAGTAGTTGCGTGCTGCGCGTTCACTTCTGAAATATAAATCCCGTCGTTTTATTTTTTGTTTTACAATATAACGTGCACGTGTAATTTCTAAAATCAAGAATTTTTTTATTTGTATTTCTTATTATCACAATATTATGATCTCTTCTTCGTTTATCGCGTGATAATTTACTCACTCGAAACACGCGACGCCGTATAATATATTATCAGCTATTGCGAAGTGTCAACTGAGCAACAAGGTCAGTCAGATAATGCAAGATAAGTATAGCTCGTCAGTGCGTACGATTTTCGGTCTCGACGTCGCCGTCGCCGACATAAAAAATTTCGCAAACACAAAACGCGATAAATAACAAATCACACATTTTATTCCTCTCTCGTAAGTATAAACGCATATTATTAAGTCAGTTTTTTTTCGATCGGTTTACCATTTAAAATAAAAACAATACGTGAGAAAGAACATTTGTTTTGTTCCACCACAGATGAGGAAACAATTTAAAAGTCTCGTCACGCATCGTTCTGTCTATGTACAATATATAAAAGAGGTGCACACACAAAGTATTTTGGGACCGATAGTTGTGCGTCACGCTAAACCGGTTTTCTACTATCTTTTTCGCGATACATGCGTTGCGAGCGTAGATTTTCTACGTGCTAAAATATATAACAGGAAGCCAACGTGCGGCGCACAATGAAGGCCGCGGGTACTCGCCGGAACACTTCCACCAGAAAGCGATACGAGTACGAGGTATATATTGTGTGTATGTATTAAATATTATATAATAATATTAATGCGCGTACACACACAACTCTCTTACAACACGCGAGTGAAAACGATGACGAACTCGATAAAGCAAAACCGACCAAGTTCCAGAACCTTGAACTTTGAGAAATTTCAAATTTCTCGCTCGCGTGCAATCGAACGACACGATGTTCGAATTTTTTGCCTTTGCACGCCAAAGTATTTAATTGAGTTCGATCTTCGCACACACGCGCCTATTTTATTCACGCTTCGCGTCATGAAATTGCGCACAACGTATAATTCTTTTTACTATTCTTAGTAACTACCTATTGTTTTTTTGCGGCGTATTCTTGCGGATGCGGTGCGTCAAAGAGCTGAATGCGTAAAGTTGGCGCTTCTATTTTTATTAGTAGTACATTTTTTCGTTTTTGGTTGTCCGAGCAAGTTTTTTACAACCACACTCTACAACCGAATTTTAACAAGAAGAGACATCGGGCGTTTAAGTCACCAACATCTCCGCGTGCGAATTATTTGTAACTTTTTCTTTGCAATATTTTTTATTATTTATATTTCAACGTAGTTTGGTACGGTTTATAGTGCACATTAAAAACATTGTGTTTACCCGATTTGTGCAATCAGACTTAATCGACCTTTGAACCCTCGAAATTTATGCAAATGAAGAAAGAAAGAAAAAAATTGACGATGCACTTTGACA